CAGGCCATGCTTCAGCCAAAGGAAAAAGACAGATGCAGGGCTGCTGCTCCAATTACAGGTTTGATCGTTCATCTTCCTGCTGCGGGAGCTAGTGGCACAAAGGTTTGATGATAACGCGTCACCAGCGACGCCGTAATGGCGGCGGTGGTGCCAGGTATGATGCAATACGCCCGTACTTGGAGGCTCGAACTCTCGTCCTGTGCATGTGGCCGCTGAAAGGGATAAAGCCTCGGTAGAAAATGCAACGGGGATGCTGGGGGTAGTTTAATGCGGTCGATGCGATGGATGCGTCGATTGGTTTGAAAATCTTCTGAAAAGATCATGATAGAGGAGCTCGAGCCCATTTATCTTGAAAATGCCCTACAGTTTCTCTACAAAGGGGATGACACCAGACTGAGCGATACAACGAGGCAGCTTAGATAATTACTCTGGCCTTGTCAGGTGGCTTGAGAATTTCGTTTCTTGACTAGTCAAGCGTGCTTGTCATATGCTTTCAGGTTGCTCACTAACATAACAAACAGACTGACCATCACTTCAACTCAGGTAATAGCCGTCACACGAGCTCTACATTGTCAAGTCAAACAGATGCGACCTTTGATTCTTCTCATTTTCTCTCAACCATTTCTCATTTCTGCCGCACACATCTTACTATCACTAAAATTCAATTAGCGGCAAAGTTGAGCGTATTCAGGTTAAGAATTGCAGAGGTTCCCGTGGGTCTGCCTGAAAGGCCATTTCCGAACATGCTATAGAAGGCATTTTGTCAATGAAACCGCTGCCGCTATTTGGCAAAGGTCTGCCCACCACTCCTACAGGCGCTGGCCAAGCTCCCGAGATACCCCAGAGAAGTATTAATGTCGAAGTCTTCTCCAATATGTCGCTCGACGATAGGGCGGATGAAGTATATCAGGAGGTTACCCCGCGATGGCCATACTCCTGTCAAGGGCAACGTGACATTTATGAAATCAGGATACCGTGTGTGTCATGTTGAAGACAGGAAGAAATCAACATCTTGGGTCTGCTCCTGAATGTATTTATTCTGTTCATATTATGTATGACAAACTGCCTCTATTCGCAGGATGGATAGTGAGTTGCGCCAGATCCGTCTGAAGATCGGAGGTAAGTCTTCTTGTAACCGGGATGAGTGGCATTGGCTAACCCAGACTTCTCAATAGCAGAAGGGACGACCCCCCCATCTGCGTTCTCCGTTTAAAATCCTAGCAGACAACAGTCGGGCCAGTGTTGCACAGGCTTCAAGTGGATGCGGGTACATGTTTCGCACTCATAAGATTAACGGGTCTCCAGCAAGATAGCTCACACCTCATCGTGGTGCTGGAGTTTAGTAGCCTTGTAGCGAAGCTGAGATGAGCTTTATTTCTTCTCTTTTCCTGTGAGCATGGAGATGGGAGTGGATTCTGAATGCGTGGGTTGAGGGGCTGAAGCGGTTAGGATATCCTCAAGAGATCTCTAGTATGCGTAGTTGAATACTGTGATATCGATGCATTTGTTAGAGATGAATACAGAAGTACGGCTCTCTTGCGTATCGATAGATCAAGTAACACAAAACCCGTGGTACTGCACCATGTGAGATCTCATGCATGGCTTAGCAGTAGAAGAGGAAGACATTAAAGGACATGTCATGTTCGTTTCAATGAGCGGTCAGCTGGTCTGATCCCTGTTTAAGGTTCTTACATGATTAAAGTTCTTACCCCTCTGCCCTGTATTGACTCGAGTATGGATTGGATCATTGTAAACAATTGATTGCTTTCATCCGAGCTGACTTCCAGGTATAGCAGTGATCTTCTTTGTGGTACTGTCAGTATTAATGACAGCCTTGTAAAATATGGCCCTTTCTGGACGTGGCAGAATTACTAGGCTGCTTACCGCACCGGAGAGATAAAGAGTAAACTCCATGAGGAGATTCCGGCCATGGTTTGCGTGCAATTATGACTAGTTACATAGGCATCTTTGCATCACAACCATATCGCATATATCCCCTCATTGTCTGACTTGATGACATCATTCATATAGGCCGGTCTCATTAAGAATCCATTGATGCTTTGAATTGTTGTGAGCCATGCTGAGGCCCGCTACTCCGCATTCTGCAACTTCTGGAGTCTGCATAGGGGAGGTCAAAACTAGCTGCACGTAGAACATGACATCGGTGTAGATATACCAAGTGACTAGAAATCGCTCAATTGTACAGTGTCGCCATCTCTTCGTTCCTCAGGAATTGTGTAAGAATATGCTATTAAAAAACAGAAGATGGAGACAGAGCCACCCGGTTAGGGCCGGGCCGCCCGGGATAAGAAACAAAAATAAGGGCACAGAATCTCAGTGCCATCATGGGGAAGGGAGAAGAGGATGAGATAGTGGCGACGTGACAGACAGTCCACACACACACGACACCAACAAAATAAATCACATCACATCATGAAGAAGACCTGCGTAATGATGATAAGCAATCCCACCAATAACACGGGGGCCACTGATAGTGGCTGACCTGAAGCAATTCGGGGAGGAGACGCCAAGCTTGACGATCACCGGAGCTTGAAAGACCAACGGGACAAGATGACAGGCCCGTCGCACCACGCCACTAACTGGCCCTAACACAACTCGGCCTGAATAGTGCGATGAATGTCCCTGTTCTGGGTCTCCGCGATAAGATAAGTCATGGGCTTATCGCGTCATCGGCGCCGATCTCGCGATCAGCTGAAACCAATCATTCAATCAATTTGCATCACCCGACTGGGGGCGAGATTCCAGGGCCAGCTGAAAGGGTCGGCTGCCGAGCCTGTCAGTGGATGCATGTCGCTACGCTGGACGGGAGGGGAGAGAATGACGTCTCAATCTTGGGTCACTTACTTAGTTCACTAGCCAGCTAGTAATTAGTTAGTTAGCTGCTGGCTGGGTAGGTGGTTTAAAAGGCTAGAGGTTTCTCTCTTTCTCTCTCGTCATTTTCTCTTCATCTCATATTCATTTTCTTTCATACCAATTGCCTTCCACTCTGATCAATAATCTTCCATCATGGCTACCAAAATCAAGCTCATCCCTAACCTCAACTACAAGCGTTCAGGCACCAAGTCCTACGTACACTTGATCCGCAAGTACCGCTTCCAACCCACCAAGCCTGGTCCCTACACCCTCAGCAGCTCCATCCAACAGACCGGCCGTCCGTACACTGAAAAGCCCATCGGAGGTCGGGCTCATATTCGCCAGCTGGTGCGGAAGAAGAGCACCACCAGCGATGAGGTTGGCGATGTCCCGGCCGAAGATGTGCAGAACGACTCCATGTACCTGGCAACCGTGGGTATCGGAACCCCGGCGCAGAACCTGAAGTTGGACTTTGACACTGGTTCCGCTGACCTCTGGGTACATCTCCATTATGAAAGAGCTACATAAGAATCATGGTACTGACAGATGTAGGTCTGGTCGAACAAACTTCCCTCAACCCTTCTATCTGAGAACAAGACTCATGCCATCTTCGACTCGTCCAAATCGAGCACCTTCAAGACCCTGGAAGGTGAATCTTGGGAAATCTCGTATGGAGATGGTTCCTCCGCATCAGGGAGTGTCGGCACCGACGACGTCAACATCGGCGGCGTAGTAGTCAAGAACCAAGCCGTCGAGCTGGCAGAGAAGATGTCCAGCACATTCGCCCAAGGCGAAGGGGACGGATTGCTCGGTCTAGCATTCAGCAACATCAACACTGTGCAGCCAAAGTCCGTGAAAACGCCCGTCGAGAACATGATCCTGCAGGATGACATTCCGAAGTCAGCTGAGCTGTTTACGGCTAAGCTGGATACCTGGCGGGACACTGATGACGAGTCCTTCTACACCTTTGGCTTCATTGATCAGGATCTGGTGAAGACGGCAGGCGAAGAGGTCTACTACACCCCTGTCGATAACAGCCAAGGCTTCTGGCTCTTCAACTCGACCTCTGCAACGGTAAATGGAAAGACTATTAACCGGTCGGGTAACACCGCCATTGCTGATACTGGCACCACGCTGGCGTTGGTGGACGATGACACGTGTGAGGCGATCTATAGCGCAATTGACGGCGCGTATTATGACCAGGAAGTCCAGGGCTGGATCTATCCGACCGATACGGCGCAGGATAAGCTACCCACTGTGTCCTTCGCCGTGGGCGAGAAGCAATTTGTGGTGCAAAAGGAGGACCTGGCCTTTTCGGAGGCGAAGACGGGCTATGTATACGGAGGAATCCAGAGTCGTGGTGATATGACCATGGATATTCTGGGAGATACCTTTTTGAAGAGTATTTACGCTGTAAGTGTATTCATTTGCTGCTGACGGCGATATTGAAGCTTACTAACTGGATTGCAGATCTTTGATGTCGGTAACCTGCGCTTTGGAGCCGTCCAGCGCGAGGAGTTGCGCCAGAGTCTGAAGTCGGAGTAGACGCGAATATATTATGGTTTAATGATGTTATGTAATTGCAGTCTCAATGAATTTCCCCGATAGTGCTTCCTCGCTCAACTCATCCGTAATGTGTTCGGCTCAAATATACGAGTCACGAAGGGCTACCGGATACCCTCAATGATTGAGGTTTGGTACCACTGAATTGTCGAGACCCAGTATGAAGGGTTACTTTCTTGGTACACGCATTTAGGAGCATTATACGGCGTATCAGTAGTGTGTATCATTGTGTAGATATCTGTAGTCAGTCATGCATTTTCCTGCGACGGCGCATAGCAGTCACTCCAGACATACGAGCACCAATAATTGGACTATATTCCATCGCGCTTGGCGCCGCCTATATTCCCGACAGATAGTATTGAGGCAAGTTAACCACTAGAGTTCTATTTTAGTCATCAGCAAATCCAGCCCCCCATGTTGGAGTGGCGAAAGAGTATTTGTAGCTGTTCCTGGCGCTTAACGAAACACCAAGCAAAAGAAGATCAGGCTGCTTGTCAGGGACTCGAGGATCCCCTCACCTTCGAACAACTTCTCAGAACCTATACTAGATATTCAAACTTCTTTTTGTTTCTCAAAGACCCCCCTTTGCCTCTCTAAGACCTTCTTGCATCATCAGTCCTCTCATGGCTTCATCCCTGGCCGATCAAACTCCTGAAAGTTCAACGACAAATAACATGGTCCGTTCGAACTCACATATACAACTTGAAACCTGCCACCAGAAATTAGAGTCCACATTCTCTTTCTACTCAATGTGGAAGGGCTTAAGTCACTAGTTCATGCATCGCCCATTTATCATGACCAGTATCTTCTAGATCGCAAGCGCCTTCTCCTCAACAGCCTAGCAACCACACTGGGCAGCATTTTCTTCGAAGCTTGTATTGTTCCAAGAGACTAGCTCAGTGAGCTTCTCGCAGACACGCAACCACGATAGAATCCATGATTTATTCGAGACACTCACAAAGCGGCGCTTTTCGGCCCGTCACTCAGATTCCAACGGCAGGACTCACATTGAAAGATGCCATAGATATGGTAACTTTTTATCTCTCGGTCTTGAAACCTTTCTCACGGCACTATTCTGCGTGGGCATTAGGAAATCTAGCCGAAGAGCGGGAAGCAACACATACCAAGATCGACGAAGGCCTGAGTGAATCGGAAGAATTTAGGATAATCCGCTCTCTGTATCGCTTCCAGTTATGTAGTAATGTATTCGGCATCGGACCCAACAAGGACAAGCTTGATCTTTTCAGGATAGACTTTCAACTCAGTGATACCGAGATTTTAAAGCTACTCGAAGATTTATGGGAACCATGGGAAGTAGAGGAGATCAATTGCATCAATATCTTTGCGGAAACAAAATGTCGTGAGATTCATGATGCTGTGAGCTGGGATTTCAGTGAGAAGAACCCACGGTTTGATGATCAGGAAAGACCGCCCAGTCCGGACGGGGCAGTGAATATACCACGTTAGTGAGCCTCTAAATATATGCAAGCTTTTTATTGTGTTTATTCTGCTGTAGAAACCTAGCTAACTGGCAGACAACCCGCGAATAAAAAGAGCACAGCCATGCTTTTCTAATCGGGACTATTACACAAGGCCTCGAGCGTTTGTATACTATCTTTTTCAAGGTCCAGGAGCACTCGGAATTAGTCAACATAATGGAGCAGACCTTGGTTCTTTGGCTCGAGGATTTCCTTGAAGGAGATGTTCATGGCGCGTTCACCCACGCGGCACAAAGTGGGCGTCGAGTTAGGGCACCGTCCGAGCGAGATAAGAAGGAGGAGCGAAGAGAGCCTTTGCCTTTCCGGGGTGATAGGGTGAACGACTACTCGGAAGGAGCGTATCCGCCATTGGCATGGACACTTTTGTGGAAAGGAACATACAGCAATATGTTAGGAAGCTACATACCTGATGAATTCCACAGGTGGGGGTATGTTATGTGGGATGCGGCCCGGTTGGAGCGCACCGGTGCGAAGGAAGTATTCGCAAGGGGGTGGGACTTGATGTGGGGTGAGAATGAAGATGCGAGAGACCAGAGAGAACTTTTTTGAGCGGATCTGGGGCTGTGTTTCTAAACAGAAAGTAAGCAAGTACGCGGTATTGATGTCGCTCCGTCTATAGTTACTTTTGGGTCAACCAGCCACATGACTGGCAAGCTCATCGTATCACCTCGACGTGGGTTGGTTAGCCAGTTTTCTGATGTTATGTAATTGCAGGTTCCGTCTTTTAAATTGATGCTAATGGCTGAGCTCAGATGTACGTACGTAGTATATGATAGAGCAATTTAGCACTCCGTATCTTGTTGTGTTATCGATCGTTCTCATTTGAACCGCAAATGAAACTCTCATTGGGTTCCGGTCAGACCTTCCACCCTTTTCCGTCCTTCCACTGCCACAACCTCAACGCCACAAAAAATACCATCCCAGCTCCTACCGTAACAGCCGCAAACAGCTGCCCCTTCCAGAAAACGGCATGTTCCAGATCCAATAACGCTCCCGCAATAGGATTGCCAATGAGAATGCCAAGCCCCGAAAACACAGAAGCCATGCCCAACCACGTCCCCATTAGAGCCATGTCCGGACACAAACCCGCCAAAACCGGAGGCATTAGGGCGACAATCGTTCCGGATGGGAAGCCATAGATAACAGCAAAGACGATGGCGCCAGCGTTATTGTGTATGCCCATCCATGCGAATGCGAGGATAGTGACCACAAGACTCACCATAATCATGACATTCAGCGGTCCCAGACGATCAGCGAGCATGTTGGGTGCAATCCGACCGAAGAAAGAAGAGGCGCTGAGAATGGATAGGATGTAGAAGGATATGTTATCGCCTGCGTGGAGATAAATGGTGAAATAGGTCGGGAGATAGAAGTAGGGGAAGTAGAGGCCCACAAGGTCGAAGAAAAGCGCGAGGCAGTAGATAACGAAAGGAACTTCACGAAAGGCCGTGAGATCAAGGAGCCGCCGAGTCTTTTCAAGAGGAGGAAGGCGTGATTTCATCACCGCTATGGAGAAGAGGAGGCCGGCTAAAGCAATAAAGGCAATTATACGGGTTGTCCAGCCGAATCCGACGCGGTCGATTAGTTTGTGAAACACGATGGGATAGATTACAGCGCCTAGCATGTAAATTTCAAGTGAGTATAATTTAATGAAATCAATCGAATCAGGACTTACCGACACTGCCCCCTGATGCAGCAGTTCCAACGGCAAAGGCTCGTCGGGAGGTAAAGTATGTGACGGGTATGGCAAGGCTAGGGATGAAGAGAAGGCCAGAACCGATGCCCACGGCGACGCCATGAGCCAGAAAGAATTGGTAGTATTCCTTGGATATTGAGGCCATCATCAGTCCAAACACGACCAGAAACGTGCCTCCTATCAGCAAAGTCTTGATATATCCTCTATCAAAAATCGGACCAACGACAAATCCCAGTGAAAGTAAGAGGAAACTTTGAACTGTTCCGATCCAGGCTATAGAGGATGGGGAGTAACCTTTCAGCAGTCTGGTTTCGTAGTAACTCTGATAAACGCCAAATGTATTGATTATGCCCCTATAGTCCTCGGGGTCAGTTAACGGGACTGCACAGGGATGATCCAGCAGACCGACCAGGAGTTGAAGAAAAGGAAGAAAGCGCCAGCTACTTGTACCCAGGCAACGATGCCTCCATCGGGTGCAGGAGAAGATGGAAAAGCAGCATCCTGAGCAGCCGAGCGTTTCTTTGTTTCTACAATATTTGGTTTAGCTATGTGATTTGCGGACAGGGGACGTATTGACGAAGCATCGTTATCCGAGGGAACAGCCATGGTCAACACCTTGAGCGAAGATTGTTGAGGAGCCAAATATGGGACCCCGAGGACCACAGCACCATATTGTAATACTGATCATGCTGTCAATAGAGCTTGTCGTTATGCACATCAGAAATCGCCCATTGGTCTGAGGACGACCAAGGTGTTGTCAGTGACCAGAAGAAGAGGATCGCACTATGCTTCGTTGTCGGCCTCCTAAGAAGGGCGGCAGAAAATGCAAAGGAGATCATTTATAGCTTAGCTCCCAGCATAAGCCTCTTATTGGTTACTACTTGGCAGCTGATGAAGCAGCGTGACGAAGCAGCTATTGCTATGGTCATCTCGGACTGGGGTGTTCGTCTCGTTGATGCAAAAGCAAGAGAAGCAGCAAATTCGTCTGTTGTTTTATTTAGGTGATTGTTGGTTGATTCTTGTTGAGAAGATTTTATCCAGAGCAAACGGGAGAACAAGACGTAGATGGTAGGTAGAAAGGAGTGGTCGGTCGGGAAGGTGTGGGCGTGCCCGCAGCAGCGATGCGAACGCTGCATGATCTGGCCAGGTGTTGTTACTGGACTGGGCCAGTACAAAGACTATTTGTAGGTTTATTGTCCGACAATTAAACACTATAAGGCTCGACGTGATTCTATCAGACCAGACTAAGGTCAGCAGATGCAGAGTCTAAAGACTTATTCAGTCACCGCCCCCTGCCCCCCTCCCCCCAACTCAAACCAAAAAACAACACGGCAAGGCCGGCGAAGCAACCGATCATTTGTTCACCTCCGGCTCAATCTCTTGAAGCTCGTCACTTTTCAGGTAGTAGCCATCTTTGCTTAGAACACAGGGGAAGCTGGATCTTCCAAGCTGGAGCCTTTAGTGGTCTTTCCATTGAACTTTGGGAACCTTCTGCGCTCACATGACTCTGTATGTGGCCGACCCTTGCGTCCAAGTGAACCGTAGGACTACTCTGCTGTGTAATGTTATCAACCGAGCTTTGCATTGCAGTCATCTATAAACCAGAACGTAGCCTGTTAGCACAGATAGATGTTTGATTGATGCCAACTGGGTGGTTGCCCATTTGGTTCAATTCAGAGAGCAAAGCTTGTCATATTCATTCGCCTTGCAGGGGAGGTCAAGAGATGACCTCACTTCTTTGTAGACCAGAGTGAGCGATAGAACATTCTGAAATTGCCGATGGACGATCTGTCTCTGAGAATTTAAGCACCGTTGGATCATCATAGTATTACTTTGATCAGGCCCCACATAGCTTAGCGACCGTGGTTTGAATCCAGCCAGAAGAAAGCAGAATGGAAAGATGAGAGGTGGGGATGGAAAGAGTGAGAGACGGCTAGTTTGTCGGACGGCTGCTGCCGAGCCGTTTAGTTATAGGCCGATCGGGACCAGGGACTGCACCTAGTAAAAAACCATTAGACGAAACGCACAATCGCAGTCGCGCCGTCCCTATTTTTGCCCTACATGGTACTCTGCTCTTCTTATGAGAAAAGGGAACAGAAACAATTCTGTCAAGCTGCCATATTGCGTAATATATAGTGGCTAGGACAAATCATCAGCTGTACTTTGTTTTCGTGTGCATGTCGTTCACCATTCCTTTTCCTGCTACACCGTGGATATCACCTCAGATTGGTACACGAATATGGTGGCCTCTGGGTCTCAATAGATTGAACTTACGCCCAATCCATTCCCATTGGCGAGTGCTTAGATGACAAGCGACCGTATACCATCAGGTCAAATTGTGAGGACATGTGTTATCAGTAAATGCCATGAAATGGGCGCCATCCGCGCATGACTACATACAAAAGAGCCGAGCTTGCCAGATGGCAGAAGGTCTATACTCACCAACACGCCGCGCAAGCGACAGATTGCATCATCCGATTCAAGCAAAATTTAGTTGCCGAGGACAGCGACCGGAAAAAACCCGCAAGTCGGGGTGATGCCCAGGCAGGTTGAAAAACAGGGATGGCAGCATGAATATGCCCATTAGGGAGGATCATCTCCAAGACCCGCCAGTCTATTGAAGTTGCTACCCTCCTTGATGACGAGACACTACCAAAGTCTCCACTGCTGGAGGGGGTCAATAGATGGTCACATGGATCAGTCCCGCCACAGTCAATTGAACTTTGGCATCCATGCAGGGATACCACTGTGGTTAGTTTCCTGAAGGAAATCAGCAGCGTCGCAACAATTGGGCGACTTATGTCGGTAAGCTGACACACAAAGTGCAATGATGCCGAGATCCAATGCGCTTGTTCACTATCGGCCCCTTTAGAAGGCTTGCGTTGATCAAAATCTTCCTTTATCAAAGACTAGCCGGCAATCCTTCAGCGAATCCACTTGGAAGCCTGGGAGATATTGCGCCATATGACTGAGTCGTAGCCCACACCGTTAATCTCGGCGGTCAATCCCCGATCGTGTCACCCTCCCATTTGTGCGACATGGTCAAATCCCGAAGCCATGCCCATTTCATTGAGGGCATGCTTGGTGATTGACCTCTTCCGCGGCGGTTGGTCTAGGCACGTGGGGCCAGCAAGCCTATCAGCGTTTGCAAGAACTTCTTTAGACACTGCTGCAGACAGAAGCTTATCAGCATTCCTAGGGAAATTCTAGACCAGTTAATGGACCGTAAGAGCTTGAGGATTTGATGATTGTGAAGTGCCTGTGCAGTAGGTGGTTATGGCAAACATACACCTCATCCAGTATGTACGTCCGATAAAGTTTTTGTACCCGAGGGGTCCGACTGGTAAGCATCCACGGCAGCAGTGGCGCATTTCCAGGACACCGGATAGGAGATAGTGTACGAGCCAATGGTAAGACAGTGAGACTAGTACCTCGCTGAGAAAATTTTTGTGGGATCAAAAACCTAAGAGTTTAATCTCCTGGCTAGACCGGGGAGGGGCGCGGAAGAATAGGAGAGAGTTAGAGGGACAGAGAGGGGCAAGAGAGCTAAAGACTAGAACAGAAAATGCCAAACAAACATTTCTTGGAATTTCGCGCACTATTGCCTTTGGCACTCCTCTTTCCCTCCCAGCCACCACTTTTTTTTTTCGGTTGGTTGGCCCTGGCTTTGTTGCGCTGACTGACTTTTCGCCCCTTTTGCGACCATGGTCCGGGCGCGTTGGCGCGCAAAATGGCCGCGATGGGAATTGTGTGCCGCTGTAGAAACCAGAAATTGAAGACAAGGTGGTGGTGGTGCACGGAGATGAATTGATGAGGGTAGTGTTAGCCTGAAACTTGCATGAAAATATTAGCTATAGTTTTGAAGAAAGTCATGAATGCCCAAAATTGGAGCTATGACCTCTGCCCGCGACAGCATCTATTGCAGATGGTGGGTAGCTAGTAAGTAATTGAATGACATCTCCCCTTAATCAGGATATTTGTCCAGCGATAACCCTGAATGGAAATCCCTCATTGGTGACATTCATGTGATGTAAAAGAGTGGAGTGCATATGCAGAGCACAGAAGCATTGACATTGCTAATAGTCAGTCACAAAAGCAACCCAAAGGGTAAGCGACAGGTCTGCGACCGTTCTATGAAATCGATCGTGATAGACAGGAGACAAGGATTATCAGGGCCCTATGACGGGAGTTCCTGGTCAACAGGATCGCCCACGTTAGCGTCTTATCACGCAAGATAAGCCGGCGGTCGCATTTGCCACAGACGTGATGGGATCTGCGGATAGCACCGGCTCTGGTGGGAGGGATCGCCACCGGGGTACGTACGATGTTTCTATGTACAGAGCATGTCGTGGAGGCTGTGGTGGTACGAATTGGATGTGTCACCAGAGTGATCTTCGACAATCCAGACTGGGGGGGGGAGAAGTGGAGGGAACCATGAAAATCAATCAGTGAATGGGTGGATGTGACTCTGAGTGTGACTGTGACAAGCGAGTCGAGAAACTGAGACGGTGACAGAAATCTCCACTAAGTTTCCGAGAATAGAAAAAAAAAAAAAGACCACCGACAAAAACAAAAACAGACACAAGAAATCTAAAATAGAAAAGCTAACAAAAAGAAAAAGCCGACGAGCTTATCAGTCCCACGTGCCCGTGCACGGACTGTCTGGATGGGCTTCTGGAACATTGGCGCTCCTTCATGATGATTCAATGGCTGATGCGGTCCCTTTTACAATTTTGATTTTTTGTTTCAAGATTGTATAATATTTGACTTGACTATGATTGTTTCGAGTCCAGATGCATTGTTCACACGCAGCCCATTGGCTCCAAGTTTGACTGCATCATCAGACGCGTCTCAGGAACAGCAGAAAAGAGCAGGTTCGCCAGGAGGGACCCGCGATTGGGCTGTGTTTGTCGGCCTGAATTGCGGGCTGGAACAGTCGGTCTCCACCGGGCGATCCACCGCAACGTCGATTTGGCTTTGGCAGACCGAGTTCTAGAGCGTTCGCCCACCAGGTTTTCCTGTCCCATGACCTGGCGGTTATCAAGCTTGCTCATCCTCCACCCTGTCAAAATGTATATAGACCTTCCCCGACCAGCTCGGAGAGAATTCTTTTGACATTCAGACAAGCAAAAGCCAAAGCTCCTTCTTTTCTCCGGACCTTTCGATTCTTTCGCCCTTCCCTCTCCCATTTCGGGTGCGGGACTCTGCATCTGCTCCTCCATTAGCACACGCAGCAGAGAGGCAACACAGAACTACGCTAGACCATACAATGTCCTACACTTCCTCCTCCCGCTTTTCCAGATCACCTTCCCCCGCGCCTCGCACTAGACGACCTTCTCCGTTGGAAAGAACCTCATTGCACCTCCGTCTCAGCCTGCTCTCCGGCGAGAAATATGACCAGGAAAGCAGTGCCAAGGAACCCGATCTTCGTCGCTGCCTCAGCCATGCCCACATCCACGCCAAGTCCATGGCTATGGTCAAGCGAGACATTCGCGTCCACATCCGCTCCATGGGCATGGCCATGGACGATGACAGCGACGAGGAGCTCCTTGATCACGAAGTCCTCCCGCCGCCACCGTCGCGCCGATCGTCCCGCAGCAGCTCCAAGTCCGCTGCGGCCCCACGGGTGACGGTATCACCCAAACCCAGCGAGAAATCGAGTCTGCTCGATAAGGGTCGCAAGTGCTTGGAGAAGCTTTTCCCTCGCAAGAACAACGTGCATCTAGCTCAGTCTAGAGTTACCGTCGTCACTTGAAGCCCGTCCATCTCTTCGCCTGCTCGTCTCTCGGTTTAAACCCCCACTGCTAGTGCTTATCGGTTTCGCCACCAACCTCTACTACCCATAGTATGATGATATCCATCTCTGCTTGTGGTAATCACGCCATTTCGGGTACCCGCGCCCATACCCATGGTGCTTCACCGTCACCTAGACTGCCCGTCAGAGTCTCTTGTCAGTCCTATTCATCCCGCCAGTCCGTTCGAGACTGGCGCGCTCTCATCCGGTTGAGAGCCTTGACCTGACGCCGGCTTCTGGTCGTGAAGTCCATATTACTATCTCCTTCACTTTTTCCTACCTCAATGTATCTTCCCCTATCATGTCCTTGAAGCGGGCTTCAACGACCACGATGTTCGGAAGTAATGTGTGCCAGTCACTATTTCCTTTGTTTACTTGTCTGGGCTTGGAGTTATAGCGTGCTTTGCTTTTGCTTAGCAATGGATACCAATTAGAGTATAGAAGACCATAGATTAGATTTTTAGAATCTATTTTGTCAGTGACATCTATCTTCCTCCCTCTCAAATGTAGTGTGTCTTTGTGTTCCCCCATTTCATCCCCAGCTAACCCGAATGACTCACCCAAATCACCATTAACTAGCACCAACACCACGTTCCACACACGGTCGCACAACGTAACCGTTCACAACCCCTAAAACAGCCAATCATACTATTATGCACCTCATGACTCGCAAATGCTAATACTCGGCTCTCAAGCCACCTGGCACAACCCCGCCGTGGTTGGAATAGCCAACTTCGGGCCGACGATAACAAAGCCGCTCTTGCAGCGGCTAATTTGATATTCAGCCTGAACCGCGATAGGCCGACAGTTCCCGGGCCATCCTTGTATGTATGCAGGTCACCCCCTCCTTGGCCGCACCTGCATAACCGAGACGTATCTCGGTCAAACATGTCGTGCTCTGTTTCTCTGATGCCGTGCAATGCCCTACAATGCCGTGCGGGCCTGAATTGCGGTCGGACCGACTTTACACCTCATATTCTCTAAGTTATAAGATGCCAGTTCGGGATTTGTTGACGCCACCGAAGTCATTAATGTTGTTTTCTTATTTTGTTTTTTTTGTGTCTTATCGATTGCTACTGATGATTATGAGAGTTCATTGGAGTTTAGTAAAACAATAATAGACTGATGAGTAAGGATGGAAGGTAAATCTGGGCCCCTCTGCGCTATCCGCCAGCGGTCGCGCGATTCGAAGCTTGATTCGGCTGGATGTCACCACAATCTCGACTGAAACATGATAAACTGACATAACTGGTCATTGAGACAGACCCTTCTGAAGAGCAGACGGGAAATAGGATAATGAAATATAAGTTGGATGAAAGAAAGGAAATGGCAACACCCCGTTGACTAGCCGAAAATGGGGAGTCAAATGGTACACGTCCATAGCTAAAGCATAATCCATGTCTTCAGAGGTGAGGCAGAAATGTCGTCCAATCCACAGTGCGATAAGCGCTGACTTCCAAAGCTCTTAGCCCAACGAAAGCCTCCACGATCAAGTATAACCTTGCAGCAGCATACGTGCAAGCAAGGGGGAATATACTCCAGAATTCGGCCTTCAGTGGCAGTACTTTGGAGACCTTGACAGATTCCCTTGTCAGTCGCGCTTGCTCCACGTCTTCCAGCTTGGATTTCCAGAAGATTCTGCAAAAGAAGCGCTGCCAGCGTCCTATCCGATACCAGGCAGCTGACGTCTCGAAGACCCAGAACGCAACAGTGTTTCCGAACAGAAACATACTGCATACTCGCCAGAGGATGAGCTCCGCCTTTGTTGGGAACCCGAAATTCCAGCCAATGAGATGGATCGAGGCATATAACAAAGTCGCAACACATAGGAAGGACAATTAGGCACGCATCAAGTCTCTTCCATGGAGCGTCAATGCATGGTGCAACTGGGTGTATAAGCTTGGGCTTTCAAAGCACATGAGCTACCTGGGGATCAGTGGTTTGGTATCAGCCGGGAGGAGAAGGATATATTCAGCTGGAAATGCGATATATTGGCAGGTCTGTAGACTTAAGGTATCTCAATCAGTGCCATTCGGACCGGTGGGGGGGGGGGATTGAATCTTATCTCTAACGGTATATACGTCGATTGAATGGACGAGCTCTGCTCGGCTAAAAGGAAGAGAGGATGAGGCTAGACATCAGTACGTGCCGGGGTACCATACTACATCTACTATATGAAACAGCAACCCCAGGCACGCCCATGCACCACTACAGTACTACGTCCGGGGCCCCCTGTCTGTTCCTGCGCACATCCGCCTGTGATAGGCTCGTGGGCCTCATCTTGCATGCGCCACTCCTGGGAGGCACCCCCTCACCCAACTCTTCCGTCAAGCGCCTGGTGTGACAGAAGCTCGATTCCTCTCCAAAGAAAACTAACCGCCCAGTAAAATATTGACCCAGTCCGCTCAACCATTCTCATTACCTTGTACGCTCTACTTCAAAGTAAAAGAAAGATACAATTTGCGATATGCAAGCAACATTCGCGGACAATCCATCGACAACGGAAACACTCCCGCGCCAGCGGAAGCCTTCTCCTCTTCCCCCGGGAGCCATTGCGGAAGAACCAGCAACACCGGAGAAAATCTTCTTCGATGACGGTGCCCCCATTCTTGTCTCTTACGAGGAGATCCCCGAATGGTATCAAGACAATGAATTTATTCGACACGGCTATCGACCTGTCTCCAATTCCACCCATGCGTGCTTCGCCAGTTGGCTATATCTGCACAATGAAACCGTGAACATCTATTCGCATCTAGTTCCAGCCGTCTTCTTTCTCGCAGCAGAGGGCATGTTCCATCAGTATCTTCAAGTCAGATACCCAGAAGCCACGTTATCCGACCACGCCATCTTTGCCTTCTTTCTCCTGACTGCTGTTATATGTTTGGGTCTGTCGACTACCTATCACACATTAATGAATCACTCCCTCCAGGTCTCGGAATTGTGGTTACGACTCGACTTTGTTGGTATTATTGTCCTGACCCTGGGAGATTTCGTCTCGGGTATCTACATGGTCTTCTATTGCGAGCCTCTATTGCGACGGATATACTGGGGCATGGTAGGTTCCCTACCGCACCGTTTGGTACATAAATATCTAATAGGGATTTGAAGATCATCTCACTGAGCTGCATCACAATAATGATCCTCGTGAACCCCAAGTTTCAAGGACCCTGTTGGCGCACCTTCCGTGTCGGCACCTTTGTCGGCACTGGACTATCTGGCTTCGCACCTCTAATCCACGGTACAGCATCTATGGCTTTGCCCAAATGATGGTACAGTCCGGCATGCCATATTACCTAGGCGAAGGAGGGCTCCTCATTCTAGGTGCACTTTTCTATACTGTTAGTACACCGACCTAAGAACTAAGTCCCATCATGACAAGTGAATATAGATGCGCATGCCAGAATCAATGAAACCTGGGAGACTTGACATTTTCGGTTGCTCTCACCAAATATTTCATGTCCTGGTCGTCCTTGCCACGGTTGTTCAGCTGGTTGGCATTCTCTCCGCGTTTGATTATAACTACAACCATGGCGAATGCAGGCTGCCATGACGTGACGATTTCTCAGCCATATGACCCCTCAGTTATAACGATACATATCTTATATCCGCGCTCATTTCATCTGTGTTTACTAGAGATGGTGGTATAAAGACGAAGTTCGGCACTTACTATTATACGCTACAACAATACCTCACGTCAGCATTTAAAGAATCATTTCAACGAAACCAGCTATAATTTCCTATAAAACACACCCTTTGTACTACAAAGAACACCCGCTCTACAATAATGTAAATCAGAGGAGACTTATAGAGTAGACATACTTACTTAGATCTCATTATCAGTGAACGAATCTGAAGAAAATCCCAAAGAAAATCATTATTACAACAAACAGTGTGTCAAAATTACAACCTCAACCTGAGATGGATAGAAAAAACTGGCAAAGATACGCAAAAAGAAAAAAGAAATCTCCCCGACTGGGAGTCGAACCCAGGTCTCCCGCGCTTGTTCCCGAAAGGGATTGACAAGCGGAAATCATGACCGTTAGACCATCGAGGACTTCTTATTAATACGCTGCATTTATCTGCTATATGAAATAAAGAAAAATTAATTATAGCCCTACCATAGCGGGTATGGAGGGTAAAAGTAGTCAAAATATTACGATTTACTTTACGAAAATAGCTGAACACCAAATGATACCAAATGATCCCATACACTATATACTAGTATGGAAATAGGGAAAGCCTCGTAGACTCACAAGTTGCCTGTGACGAGCTCACCATCACCACATAACATGCAAGGCTTTCTGACCTGCTCCCTATGTTGTTCAGCATATCCCAGTTTCTGATTACCCTGCATGATATTGCTCAACTTCCCGATTTATTTAGCTGTAATATGCAAACGGATTTTCTATATATCAAGCCATGGTTCGTAAGTCTGCACCGACGACATGGCGATTTCCGCCAGGCTTGTACCGAACGGGATGTTCCCGTGCCATTCGCAAGGACATAAAAGTACCTAGAATATCTGCGCTAAGTACTATACATAAGCCACCCACCTTTCAGAGGGCTTTCTCGGAGAATAAAAAGATATAAGGTCGTCACTAGCGGCTGGTGGCACTTCCTTTCGCAGTACAACAACTACTAGCTTTCCTCTCAGCTGACTGGTGCACTGACCCCCCCAATCTGCAGCCTAGCCCATCTTGTGTCTGTTTACGCGCCTGCATCTTCCACTTTATTCAAATTTCCCACACAGCAAACATTTTCACTTGAAGAGACGCAATGGAAAGAGCCGCAAGCCCAATTTCCACTTTGGTCGGGCTAGCAACCCGAGCTGACCCTTCGCCTCTACCGCCCCCTCAGGAAATATTTGTCCATATCCAGGAGATGTATGACTCTGGGAAGCCATTCTACACCAAAGAGTTGTTCCAAGATCTCAAACAGCAGATACAGGATGCTCGCGATGGAGTTATCCAGAGTATACGTGTGCCAGTGTTGGATGGAGTAATTGTTGAGTTTCCAGTACTCATAGGGCAGGTCTATCCAGCACATGATGAGCCTGGTATGGAGTACATTATGTATGTGTTTTTATTGATACATTTCTCATGCTAAGCTGCCTTAACTCACGGACTTTGATCTGCGAAGCCGAAACCCCTGTATATCATATTCATCTCTGCAAGAAGTACTTGATGATGATAACCTAGGGGATTATCTGCCCTACAACCATATCGAGATTGGCCATTACAAGTATCTACGGGATATCTACACCAAGGAGCTGTACCTGAACAGTTCAGTTGATTCAGTACATGACGCAAGCAAGCTCCTACAAGAATGTCGCCAGATCTGGGAGAACACCACAGAGTGCCAAGAGCTTCGGGTAAAGCTCATGTCAAGAAAGACTGTCCCTATTACCAAGATCGTTGGGATTGCGCTCGGATCTTTCGCAACAGTCTACCCTGAACTACAAGATCGATCGGTTTTTCAGCACGCTCTACTTTTGACTCTCCGTGACGTATATTGCAAAATGCACAATGTGTCACAGGATGCTATTCCATGTTTTGCACAGGACCCAGAATGCAAGAAGAATGATATACTTGCTGCAGGGGAGAATGGAATCAAGATCGTAGAAGACCCCGACGCCTTTCTCAAAGTTGATGAGTCCACAGTGGTGGTTTCGGTTGCTCCGGATATTGCTGTGCGGCAAATTGTCTTTGATATAGCTCGGCCAGCTGTCCTGATATGGAGCAAAGTAAGGGATGAGAATGAAGATCATATGTGAGTTGCTCATTTTCTCTTCCTCTTCCTCTTTTTCTTCTTCCTCCAGTCTACGGGATATGCAAACTTATCTTGTCTAGGACCGACCCTGTTTCTCCACGCGTGTTAACTTGCATACGGGAATACTATGATGAATTTGATTTCCCTGATTATAATTCATATTTTTCAGACCTTGCGGTATACATTCGTCGGAACTAGGGTGGAGCCGACGAGGACGCAGGATATTAAACCGAAGAGACTTGTCAGAGCAGAGTCAGCGGATCTGTCAAAGGATGTCTACCATTTGCTCATCGTATAACTCCAATCCTAGGGATCTGGAGCCCGCATGCACTGCTATGTTACTAGCACTTCCTGATTCTAGTTCGGGAGGTAGGTTGAGATCCCATAGACGACATCTAACTCGGGCAATAAGTTCGAACTCTCGTACGTCCCAGTGACACGATAAATCCAGTGATGTCCTCAGGTCTGCTACGAAGTAATTCATATCCATATCCAGAATCTTGTAGAAATTTTCGTAGTTTTCAATCCACTTCTGAGGTAGTTCATTCCCAGGAAATGATGTCCAGCTGGCGCCGAATATAGTTTGACTATATTCAAACAACTTCAATAACTGTTCCGTCGTTTCTGTCCATTCTATAATCTTAGGAACAGCCGTCATCATCCTTCCCAGCACTGGAGTCCATTGTGGTCCTTGAGCCACTTGTTCTGGATTCAAAGGTCGTAAAAACGACCAGATAATTCGACAGAGATCCCATGAATATGTCCAAGGCAACTTCACACCGCAATACAATGTAGTCTGGATGTCATCGAACTTGTCCACTAGCATCTCAAATTCTCCTTGTCCCCCGGCAACTTCCGAATAATTGACTTGTCGAAGAAACTGCCATGTTGCATGCTGATCACGGAACATCCATCCAAACTCTCTGTTTGAATCTTCCCATTTATCCCACAATTGTTTCTCAAGCTTCGGCAACGGGTTTTGCAGATATAGAGAAAAGTTAAAGACCCTGTCTCTGACGCTGGCGAAGGGGATGGGAAGTTCGTCATCGCCTAAGGTGATGACAGATTGATGTGTAGTTTGTTCCATGAGCAGATGGAATTCGCGAATCAAACTATTTTCTTCTGGGGACAGTCCTGAAACAATGTACCGCTCATTCGGCCTTTCACTGGCCCAAGGCAGCAGCCATCTACTGGTAGGAGGTTGTCTGAGCGAAAGTGCGCAGGTCGATACGAAATGATAAGAGCCCGTGACAGATTTTTCTCTGAGAATGACAGGGTTGTTGTATCCACCGAGAAGGAACAAACTATCTTGCCCTTTCTTATATCCTCGATCTGGGAGGGAAACCGATAGAGTTGCTCTTTCATCAAGCGTCATTCTGATCTTTACACGAGTTGGACCACGCTTGATACTGCCACTTAACCCGCAAACCTTGATAGCACAAGTGCGCAAGATCGGCGTAGCTGCACTTAGGTGGCTCTCACTGTCAAAGGCAAGGTAGGATCGGAATATTACATGACCTGAGCCTGAGACTTTATTGTTTTTTCGGTTGAGTCTTTGATTCGTTGTTGAAATGGGTGTAGCGGTCGTGGATACTGCTTGCGACCAGTCTGGGACCCAGGAGGGGAGGTCGAATGTCTTCTTTATTGTTAGACCAGCTAATTCGAGAACATCCATGGAATTGCAAACTTCCATAAGGTATGCAGATAGGCCGGTGTATACACTTTCAACGGAAACGGTGTAGTCGGGTTTAAGTTCACTCTGGGATACCAAGCTAAGCACGGCAAATACCTTGTCCCGCGGATCGGAACATTCATAGGAGGATGCTTGGGCTAATATGGGTAAAAGTTCACGATCGGTAAGCCCCTACCAGTGTTCATTCCAGAAAAGCCAGTCGGGTATAGGAACGTCTTCATTGGCCAACGCAAAGGGCGCTTTAGGCCATGTAGCTGAATGTGCACCGCATAGTAACTCAGGGTTCCGAGCTAGTAATGCTTCAACAAGGAACCATAGTCTGGTGAACAATGGTCTTTCTAGAAGAATCCTAAAGCTCTCCGAGTATCTTTGTTTATATGCTCATGGCCAGTGCTCACTTCGGAGCCTGTTACAGCGATGCTGTTGAGAAAATCCAAAGCTTCTCGACTGTCGGATGTTTCTTCACCCAAGTAGGCAAGGACTTTAGACCCCCTTTGGCAGATTTTTCGTTTCAAAGAGGTTTGTTGACTTTTTACTTTGAGGTTAGCCTGATCGATGCATAATGAATCAACCCATAAGAGTCGATCAAACTCCTGGTTCCTTATAAAGCGAAGCGCCTGTTGGCAATTGTATGATACATGAACAGTGTCCCAGTACTTGCCTACGAAGACAATGTGGGAATTGTCGGAGTCTTCGTTTTCGTTGGCTCGGGGCATATGATAAGACTTCAAATGATTCAGCTGGACAACTGGGGATGTTCATCACCTCCTGGTCAATATGAAGCAGGCTATCGAAAGGGCCAGCATTCAACCTGACACTCTTTGGAGGGTAGTGTCGGGAATGGACTCTCTTCAGAGTCTGTCGGAGGTTCGCTGTCGCCATGTTCTGTGCTCTCCTCTGATATAATTGTGTTATCTGAATTGAGGCATGATGGCCACAGAGAAATATGAGATAGGTCGTTCAGTGGCAGTGGTGAATCTGTGAGTTCTCTTTCTTGCTCGATGATCGCAATGGCGAAGCAATGATTGCAACATGGAATACCACTTGCCACACTGGCATCTGGCCGTTTGCAGCTTGAACTGTGCCAAAGGCTCATTGTGTGTTGAATTGATGGAGGAGACTGGGAAAGTGAAAGACTAAGGGTGATGGTCTGGAAGAAGAACGTTTTGGTCGGGAGGAGAAAGGACAAATGGGCGACTTAGAAAATACGGGTGAATCGCTGCTTTCTATAATTGGTGACCGTGAATCACGGAAACTTGGGATTCTAGTTATCTGGGTCGGACTGAAAAGGGATGAGACCAGACTTGATGCTTGAAGCTGAAAATGATAAGTTATCCGACCCAGTTGAAAGAAGTCTAGGCCCCATTTATAGGTCAAGGCGCGTGCTAGTTCACTTGGAATTTGGGGGATTTTTTTTTCCAACCTATCGTAGACAAGACCCGGATTATCACCGATTTCCAGGCATTTATCTCATCTAATACTCATAGAGGTTGTCTTTCGGGGGGTCCCACAACACTACTTGCTATCCACTAATTTTAGGTAGAGAAAAATCAATTCAAATACGCTCGAACTATCTTACACAACCCAATAACTAGTCAAGGAATTCCGTCCCCTCCCAGTCATTAGAGTTATAAACATCTCTTACGTTGTCTTTTTCCAAGCAACAATTGAGAGAGATAAACAGAGGTTATAATTATTCATGCAACATACAGGTTTTATAATTCCGCTGGCGTGAGGGCCTCACAACACATTCATGTGCACAGCACCAAAAGAAGGAAATCTACTCATTAGCGATAGAGACAATATAGCTTTATAACATATGCTATCTGGTCTGCAATGCTGTGGAATTTTTTTGATTCTATAGTTGTTCGAGACATTGAACAGGTATTTACAGTTGAAGCAGTCGACATTAGAAAGGACTTATGGAAAGTTGAACAACTCGCTGGACTGCACATCCAGCCCGCCCATGTCGCTCAAAGACCAGATTGGTGCATTTAGTTAGTATGATAACATTATACTATTACTGCTTGAAATGGTGATTTTCTGCGGCTGCTTCTAGGAGGTTCAAACTTCCTTGCAAAAGTGTCTTTAATACCATGAGGACGTAGAAAACTCTACTTATCACCAGAAGGGCAAAAAACTGCGCAGTTGTGTGAGTGGAGTAAATTCAGCCCACCTCTTTTGAATTTAGAGAGTATAATGTTACATTATCATCACTCATCACCCTAAAAATCCACCGCACAACTCCACTCTGCAGTACAATTAGCCAACAAGTATGAATACACATCCTCACCGTTACCCGTCCTAGTCTCCTCGCACGTAACCAACGGTGATGAACTATCCGTCGACTTGACACAACGAGCAGTATTCCCTCCATCGGCATCAGCACACTCCCACACCCCCGAGGTGCTCGATGTCTCAGTGCAGGAGTAGCCTCCGGAGACACCACAAACAGACCAGTCGGAAAAGGTGAAATCAGCGACTAACTTCGTAGTCAGGGCCTTCCCTGTATTGGAATTGGTCGCTTCATACGCAAGGTTCTCGCAGAAGTCCCCGTCGGTGATATCTGCTGATGAAGCGATAACTTTATTCCCGTCGTTGACCGTAATACAATTGGAGTTGACACAGGACTTCTCCACTGTCTTGGTGCGCCAAATGGCAAAGGCCTGGGAGGTTTCCGTAGCGGTTGCTGAGGCTGTAGAGATGGTTGTGCGGGAGCCAGAACAGTAGCTCACATGGTCGATGATGCCCGTGGTAGCACAAGCGACGATATCGCCGTCCGCTTGAGTGAAGGTGTAAGGGTACGGGTCTATAGTGCGGTCGACGCCCACGGTGGTGCGAGAACCAGTGCAGTAGCTCACATCGTCAATGATGCCCGTGGAGGCGCAGCCGACGATCCAGCCATCGGCCTGGGTAAAGGTGTAAGGATATGCATTGGTGGTCGTCTTGGTCGGCAAAGCTGTGTATCCGCATGGGTTGGTCCCGACAGTGAGGGTTGGGTAACTTCCGCTACCCCCGCTGCAGGAGCAGACGGTGTCATCCGATCCACTGTCAGGATCCTGGGCCTCTACGCAAAGAGGGATGCTGGAAGTGATACTTGCTTCGGCAGCGGTGCCGGTTTCTGTAGCGGTGATGGCCGCTACCTCACTACCGTAGAGGGATCGGAAGACGGATCCCAGGTATTGATCGATCGATGATTGCAATGCAGAATTGGTGGACGCGGCGGTGGGAACGAACTCGTAGTAGATGGTAGTGCCTGCTCCGCCCATGGTCACGTCCGCCGTTTCAGTGCTGGTGCTGGTGCTGCTCGTGCTGCTGGACTCGTCGTCGCTGTCGTCTCCACTGTCGTTGCTGCTCCCGCTGCTGCCACTGCTCCCGCCACCACCGCTATCACCTTCTCCCCCAAAGCTCCCATCCAGATTGAGGTCAGGAGGGCAAACTGCACAGGCGCAGAATATGAGACCTTTATCCGTCCGATTAGAGCTGGTGCTCAAAATGTACGGGACATCGATGAGAATACTTACAGTGATGACCGGTGTGCTCTCCAGAAGAGGTAGGGGTCGGTCCAGCAGGGGATCCTGTGCTCATTCGAGTAGTACGAGTGTTCAGGACCGGATCAGTAGTGCTGGTATCGGTGGGGTAGGGGTGTGGCGTAACAATAGTCGTTGAAGGAGACAGTGTTGTGCCCCCTGTCACGCTGGTTGTGCCCCCAAATACTCCAGTCCATGCGGGACTGGTGTAGGTGGCATTTCCAAAGGACCAACTGACACCTGCAATAGTACTTGTCGTACCCCCATAGACGTTTGTCACGCCGCCCACCGTTCTATTGGGTACGAAGTCAGCTTTCATCAATATATATGGTGAAATGGGGAAAAGATGTTTCTTTGAAAGGAATGTTGGCTACTCACGGGGTATACACCACAGGAAAAGGAGTGGGAAGGATAGAGCTGGTCTGATAGACCCTGGATTGGCCTGGCGTGATGGCCTGATTCCAGACATTGATATAATTGGTAGTGACGGGAGCGATAGAAAGTCGCGTGGGAATGGCCGAATTCTGCATGGATTTGTAGGTCACAACGTTTCCGTTATCCAGGGTTGTGGTCTTGGTGGCCGTGGAGGCCCATGTGATGTGCGTGTCCCACTCGCTGAAGGTAATGGTGGTTGTAGTTTCCAGCGGCTTGGGCGGCATGATCATGAGGCAAGGCGGCACGCAGGTTACGACTGGAGAGGGCTCCATCCAGACAGTTGGGTCGATGGTGACAGTCGTAGTGCTCGTGGTGGTGGTTAAAGGACTGGTGCCATCATCATCATCATCATCTGAGTCTCCTAGATGATTGGTCTCCAGGTCAATGGCCCACTCGGCCGTGCCACCGAAGTTGAACTGCTCGTAGTATGCCATCCGGCTCGCGCGCGTAGTGGAATTCATGTAGCCTACCCATTGGGTCTCGTTATAAACCAGAATATCAGTGTCGTACGTGGAGTAAGTCTGGGTCGTCGTATCCGAGGCTAGAATCTCCTCCATCTCGGCCTCAGCGATGTATCCGGCTGTGTCAGTGCAGGGTCCTGCGGCGCCCGCAGTATCATATGTACACCACGACTCATAGCAGCCCGCGGTGGTCATATGAAAGGAACGGCCGTAGCTGGAGACACCGACGCGAATGTCTTTTGTCGCTACCCCAGCTTTGGTGATCATCGCCAATGCCCACATTGTTTCCGTCATATTCACATGCGAGAACAAACAGTCTCCATCGCTGCAACCCCATTGCGAATATTCGTTGCCCAGATCCCAGATACCATGAAGATCGTAAGTCATGTAATTGATATAGTCAACGACTTCGGCCATCTCAGCGATTGGGAAGGCTTTCAGATACCAGTACGATGACGGAGCAGTTACCGAAATGATTGTATCATTGGCCACGAGTGCACGCAGGACTTTCAGAAATTCCAGGTAATTCTCGCCTTCATCTGAACCACCTGCCGGAATCCCGGAGATATCAGGCTCCCCAGGATACTCCCAATCGAAGTCGACTCCATCAAGTTCTTTCTCAGTAATGAAATTGGCCACGTTCGTCGCGAAGGTCTCACGATTTGCCGCAGCGGTTCCCTCACGGAATATCATATACGTGCTGCTGCTCGTAGAAAAGTCCCATCCACCAAAGGACAAGATTCGCTTAGTCCCAACCAGTTTCAGAAAAAGATTAAAATCTGATTCCATCCCATCTACATTGATAGAGAAGTCGGATGCAATGTTTCCAAAGCCGAAATTGACATGCGTATACTTCGTAGTATTCACGTCAGAGGCCTGCCATCTGAGACACGTACGGTTGACACTGCTGGCTTCCAGATAACCAATCACATCATATCCAGACGGCTCCTCGGCATAGTTGGTAATGTTCGTTCCACAATTGTAGATGCAACCATTTGAGCCAGCGGCTGCGGTACCTGGGGCCCCTGTGGAAGCTCGCGTGTCATTGCAGTACAACGGGGTAGTACCACACTGACCCCAGACATCACAGCATGCATTTAGAGGACACGGGTTTAACTGAGCCCAGTAAAAGGAAGTGGGTGCATCAGTGAAGTTGGTTCCCGGCACCTGGGGCCCACAAACAGCGTTGGTTATAGCTGCCGGGTAGGGGGCATTGCCAGTAGAAAGACAAATGTTGGTCCCCGCCTGCAAGTCATCACATCCGTACCAGCCCCATGTATCGTTGTTGTAGGAGTCGATCTCCGCGACCGTGAGGCTATAAGTCTGCGCCAGCGCCGAACAAGTGTCACCGGACTGGACTGTGTAGGTATAACAGGTGCCGTTGCTATAAGCGGATGGGGAGAAATCTGGCAAACCCCCGGAGGAGCAGCACACATATTGTCCAACTTCCAGTGTCGAGCATAGATCTGAGGCAGTATTATATTGGTAGAACTCAGCAGCAGTGATACCACATTCAGAGACGAGTGTAGCACATAAATCACCTGACACGACCTGGATATAAGAACAGCTGCTGTCACGATGAGCCAGATGAGCGTGGGTGTGTGAATGAGTGTGGCCGTGGAAGTAGCCGTACTGAGAACGACGGCGAGTCAACGAGTGGGATGAGGTAGTTGTATTTGACGTAATAGTAGTGAATGCACCAGTACTGTTGCGAAGCCCTGTTTGACTAGTCCACAGGGTTGTTGTTCCAGAACTGTGGCTGTCATAGTCCGATATACAGTCGGCCTTGCTCCAGGATTGAATGTATTGTTGTACAGTAGTGATGTCTCCGTTCGTTGAAACTGCCACACCCAAAGTATTATTGGCGTTTGAACCGCAGTATTGCAAGATTGCCCGGTCGTAAGTGGAATTTTGTGACAGGGAGATCATCTCATTGAGTGCAAAATCAACGTTGGGAGTCAGCTGCAAACTGCCACCAAGGTAAACCCCGACGCTTACTCGATTAGAGTAGCCGAATAATTCTCCCTTGTGAGGGTTGGCAATCAGGTAGCTATGCATATCTCGCAGCAGAGCGAGAAGCTGCGAACTCCCCGGCGGGGAGCTGGCTTTCCAAATGCCAACCTCATACGTAACAGGAGAGCTGGAGCCGCTGTCGGATGAATTGGTGCTGGATGGACCCCAGGAGGCAAGGTCTCCGGGGGTTGTGCAAGTGTAGATGGTTGAATGATGTTGAGGATCAGTCACAGTGTTGTAGATGTTGAAATCGAGAAGCATGCTTTCATTGCACTGCGCGAGTCTTTCCAAATCAGGGTAAACAAACCAATCGGCTGGGTCTGTGCTGGAGCAGGGCGCAGGGCACGGCTTTGGCTTCTGCACTCGAGCTCTTGCCTGGATTTCACGCTCCGTGCTTGCCAGCGCTGGGTGAACCAGAAGGCTGCTCGCCAACAGTCCACCCGTGAGCTGCGAAATCAGGCGCATATCAGGAATTGCCGCCGCTTATAATTCAACAGTCGTTAAGAATGCCAGGAGTATACAAAAGAACAAAAGGAACGACTAAAAATGCGAGGCTGCAAGGGAGAAATCTAAGGAGAGACACAGAGTAAAATAAGTAATGAACGGCGGTGCTAAGCAGAATCCGGCAGAGAAACTGATCTTTGGTGCTTCACAAGTGTTGAGAAATATAGCCATCTTAAATCATTTGAGGTATACCACTCATCCTCTAGGCATCACTATCACACAGTGATTCATAATAGGCTGCAATATTCTGTATAGTATTATTCTATTCCCTTTTTTTTGGATGTAGTTACACCCGAAATGAAAAATTATTTCCGAGACCCCACTGGTCAATGCAGGCAGTCGTGACCGTCCACAGGATCCGGCCCGAAACTAGTGAGATCCGCCTCAACCCTAACACAGATCCGGGGAAGCTCAGATACAACCAGACCACAATATACCCCTACCAGTAAGATTTGGTGGGACCGGGCAATTTCCGACTTGCCATTGCTATTTCTCAAGCCCCAAACACCGGGTAGCTGCGGCCTAACCGAAGGAGTATGTTGTATGAGGGATTTACTTGTCTCTGGCACGCGATACTGGCTAGATTTTGTTAGTTGACCACGCCCATTGAGTGTCATTTCCCAATAACAACCCAGACCATGAGTTTAGCTCACCTTGCATCGCTATCGGATCCACTGTTTAGTCCGATATGAAGATGTTATTGCAATCTCTGGTGGATGGGCTAATTCTTTACGCGGTGTGCTCAGAAAAGGGCTGTGGACGAGGGAAGCGTTTCACCGAAATCGTCATACTATAATGGCGTCGGAAATATAAATCTAGTTCTGAATTTCCTGTAGAAAGAGAGCATTGTGAGTGACTATATTTTCAATGATTTGAGCACCGCAATGTTCCGATCTTTTGTTGCCTTGGGGTTCACTATCGGCCTGCTGGCCATGCCAGGAGCTGCCGTTACGGTAGACAATGCCTTCAATATCTATACTGGTACTGGTACTGGTAGCTGCGCCAGTCGATTGTCAACGCTTACGAACCTGTGGAAGGATACAAATACCTTGGTTGCTGGTCTTGCTACTGCGTATAAGACTGCGGTGGGCACGGAGGCGACCGAGGATCGAGTGGTCGCCCAGAAGCTCTTTACGGCATGGATGGGAGTCCAATTTGATAACTCTGGTGACGCCCCGGCACCTATAGGAGAGTGGAGTGGGACTTACATGGCGGCTTTCAAAGGTTAGTGGTCCCTTTTGCTGTCAAGAGACATGCCATCCTGAGATGTCCGAAATCAAACAGAAAACTTCGATGTGCTGGAACAATTCGTGGCCAGTGGAGAGTATCCGTCTTGGAAGACTCCGCCTAAATTATTTTGTGACAACTTTGGAGACTGGTTTGACTGGACAGATCAGGCATTAGACGCTTCAGGAAAGCCCGTGGAATTGAACGGAGTCGCTCTAACTATTGAAGACATGTTTGAGCAGGTAAGGGAACAGGATGGATATGATGCTCACCGCCCATACTGGGTTTCCGACCTGGGTGTCTATGTCTTCCCACGGCCAACATCGACCGGCGATTTGTGCGGGCAGAGTTCAGGCAGTAAGACTCTTCAGGGGGTGAGCATTCCTGGCTACTGGCAGGGATACTACCAGGCTACTGTCAACGGAGAGACGGAAACCATCGAATACGACGACCTGGCGGACATTGTGCTGCTATGTCCCGACTCCTTTGATAGTAAAGTCCCGTGGCAGTACGAAACCCTAGCCGACCTGTCAAAACTCAGTATAGGGGAAAAAGTGCCTCTGTATGATGTGATGCCTCGGAGTAGCACCTTATTCCACGAACTGTGGCACCTGATGACTTTCTGGATGGGGAAGATATACGATGAACCCATAACTGGCCGCCTTACCGATCACAAGTGTAAGTTCCCCTCCGAGTGGCTGTTTAAGAAGGCCAAGTCTTTGCGCTGAGCCTGACATCATTATCCTCAACTGCTAGATCTGGTTCAAGATTGTATTGTACTTGCGGCTGGTTGGTACAGCAATATGCATCCCATTCAGAATGTGGAAAACTACGTGTATCTGGCAATAACTTGGTGGTTTTGGGTCGAAAAAAGGGTTGCCTTTTACGACGGCAGGCCTCGTGCCTGGAATTGGGACTCCGAAGAGGAGGACTATTAGGGGGAATAATTCATATATAAATAGACACCTTATAGCCGTTGCTGGCGAGGGATGAGCCCCGGCAACGAGCTTTAAAGAGTGTATACGAACAGGAAGGCAGTTTCTTAGCTATATCTCTCACTCTCTTGTAGCCTGGAATCTTCTTTTCTACGACCCGACATTCTCTCAACCGGCTGATCTCCTGTTCGCATCGATATTTGATGGATCCTGTGTAATGGTGCCTTGTCTATGCGGTCAATAGAGTGAGGTTTTCATCGTATCCTACATGTGTTCCGGTCTTAGTACCCCTGTAACCTTGGCGCAGGATCTGTATCTTGCATGTAGTGTGGCACGATGCACGCTACAGTGAGTCATTTTCAAGATAGTCGATGATTTCTGCGGCCATCATGCTAGTGCCACACTCAGAGATCAGTTCTTGGCCAGGAATCGCTGTCATGGATAAATCTAAAACCGGGCTTTTGGCTCTACGAACGGATGCAGTATCCAAAGTCAGGCTTGCCCCACTCACCAATACTCCAAGGGTTCTAGTAAGCCTCAAGGACTCAATAGTGTATGGGTCCATCCACCCGTAGAGCGTTCGGAGATAAAGCTTTCCAGGCAGACCCACGGGAATTTCCTTCGGCCGCAACTACCCGAACACACTCTACTAGTATTCTTTTTATTTACGCACTAGATTGTCCAACCAATCTTGTTTCACTTCACCCTTCTTTTTGAAATCCCCCATCACCATCAACAACAAGCCACTATGAACAAGCTTCCACCGGAACTTATTGATGCCATCGGAAGCCATTTTGATTACTCGGACTGGTGCGCCCTCCGACTTACATGCAAGATTTTCTATCAACTCTCTTCTTCCCACTTTGCGAGGCGCTATTTTCGGCATGTCAGCGTGATTCTAACCCGGGATGCTCTTGCGGAGCTCGAATCTCTCACCCTGCATGAATCATTCAGAAGGGTAGTAGAAGAGTTGAGCATCATCCCCCAGGCATTTGGAGATTACGAGATGGATCTTGATGCCTTTAAAATTATCTTACACCTTTGTACGCCGGAGAGCCAAGATTGGACAGTTGAGGAAGTGCAAGCGCAATATTTGATATATGAGGCTGCTCAGACGGATCATCTAGCATTCGCAGAGTCTGTTAGCTTAGTCAAGAGTCTTAGTCGATGCCTAGAGCGATTGGAAAATGTTTCTATAATCGGGTTGAGACCCTATCCTTCCCAACGACCAGACAGTCAGAACCCGTTTGTCTGTCTCGGCATGCGCGCCTTACGGAAACAGCTCCCCTTCGACCCCTGTATACGGTTCTTGCTGGTCGGTGCCGATGCACATCGCCCTGTTCATCGGAATTTCATTTCGCGCTCCATAGTATGGACTATGTGGAAGGACATAAGACATCCGGTTTGGGCCAAGGGGCTTACCAGTCTCTTCGAAGCTATGTGTGCAGCGTCTCCCCCTATAAAAGTTCGAAGGCTGTACACCTGCCACGTTGAAGACGAGTTCGTGGTTCCGCCAGACTGTTTTACTCTTTCTGAATCACTTTACCAGAGCCTGAAATTTCTTCTTCATGAGCTACGGGACCTGGAAGTACGTCTCGGCCCCTCAAATCGGAATGAAACATCGGAGTCTCTTCCATGTCTCGTTATCCGGGCTGCTCCGAATCTCCACATTCTCCGTCTTACTCTGTGGGACCAATTCCATAACTTAAGCGCGGATAATTTCACCAACCTGGCCAAACAAGTCCGTTTCACCTGCCTCTCGGAGCTTCATCTCCACTGGGTCGAGCTCACTCAACCCAGCTTCCAGTTATTCTTGCGCACAGCCGCCCCTACCCTGCAGGTTCTGACCCTGATTGCAGTTAGTTTGAATGACCCAGTACCAGTAAGGATGGGTTCTTCACCAGAGTTCCGTGAGGCCATGTTGACTCTCTGGCGTCACTTCTTGAATACTTTGCGTGACGCCATTCCAGGTGTTAACTTCTTCCGGATGCGGGGGCTTGCATATCGCCAGCGTAGGTTTTCCATGGACGATCCCTTAAAAAGTGCGATGGATTTGCGCAATCTATACTCCCACGACAGTTATGTCTATAAGATCAATACGACAGTGAGCTTTACCGAATGGATCAATCAGTTAAAATTGCGCCCAGGATGTCCCTTGGAGGATCGCCGTCTACCAAGACATCGCAGTACGTTGCCTATGAGTCATATTGTGGCTGTTGACCGTCACTAACTTTGATGACCTTTATGACAGTGATGTTGAGCCGCAAAATTACATCACCGCTTCCAGACGGCGGACCGCGAACGAAACCTAGAAATGTCTTTCATGAACGATATTGTAGTGGCTTCTGCAAATGCGATGTTAAACATCGATTTAACATGACATAAGGAAGGGATCTGCCCACAATCACACATGCTGATGTTAAGTCCATCTTCTTTACAGCGGATTATGACGTTTGCTTGGATAGGTCCTGTATGGCAACAATGATAGTCCCAGAGCCATAGTCTGAACCAGGCAATCACACCCCACCGGACAGCACTATTTAATTCTCCTCTCCAACATTTGCTCTGACTTTGAGGCCGCAAGCCTTTGAAAGAGAGTAGATGACCCACGGAGGCTATATAATTCATCGAAGTCTTCATGTATCATATTTACACCACTCACAGCCTATGCAAACTTCCGGTTTAACAGGTGGGTGGTGGAATCTCAATGTCGTGATCTTGGTGCAATCTGTCTCTTATGCATCACCTTGTGAGTGTATGTCCTCGAACTGGCTGTAGTGACCAGTATAGCCTTATCTGTAAGGGGGCTGGTAACAAGCAAGAGGCTTAGTGGAGCCGGCTTCAAGGACTATCAAGAATAAATAATAATGGCTTTATGGTAACTAGAATACATTCTAGTCAGCACTGCAGCACAGTTATCATTCGGTACACCGTATTGCAATGCTTATGATTGGACTTTAGGGAAATTATTCAATCATTCTGCTGTGTCAGCCAATGCAGAATACTAATATCTTCCAAATATATGAGACATGGAAAGTTAGACTAGTGATACCTATCTAGGTTACCCGCCAGCTATTCTATCTCTTGTTTCACCCCCTCCTGAGAGGCCTATCTGCTATCAAAGTAAAGTCTCTAATGAGGAAGCTCATTAGTGCACTGCATCCTGCCAAAGCACAACACCCCGCCCACACAATGCGTAGACTATCCGAATACGCCGTCTTCAAATCCTCTTTGGCCACAGATTCCGGTATCTTCCACCAACGAAGCAACATGCCCACTGTATTCATCTGCATGAGACATATGAGCTGGATACTTCATGAGTTTAGAATAAATGCAGTTCTGGAAGATGACTCCCCCAATTACGATGCCGATGGCCTGCCCCAGAGTTCGGAAAAAGCTGCACTAGCCACCGCCATGGCCAAATAGCGCGGCTCAGCAGATGCCTGAATCACATATATCAGGGTAGGAAAAAGGTATCCAAGCCCGAGGCCGTGAACAAGCATCAGACAGACCCATCCAGTCACGCTTGTATGGGTGTTGATAATGCAAGAAAGGCCAGAGCCCAAACAGGCAAGAAAGGAACCCAGAATCACGGCCCAGCGGTAGCGGCCCCAGCGGGTGTTTAGGTAATTGGCAATTGTGAACATGGTATAGCAACTCCTGAATTGGGATTCGGGATGACCCTTGCAGACTTTTGCAAAATTGCACGGCTTTGATCGGTGCTAGAGCTGCATGAGTTCTGTGAGTGTGGATCACGGCGGGCTGAGCCTGCAGCTACAGACTCGGTTTCATAGTCTGTATGCTTCGTCGGTGATTAGGGGTCATCGGACAACTAAAATATAATTTAAGTTTGAGATATTCAAAATTCAAATCTAAGATATGATGTAGTAATATCTTATCTTCTTCAAAGTATTTTAATCACACGTTAAAAGCTTATATCCTAGAGTTTTTCCAGATGGTGATGTCTATCGCTTGTATGGCATCTCAAGTATGGTCATTGTCCGATGGCCGCTAATCACCGCCGTAGTATGACCATTCCGTCTATGGATCTGCATGTCTTGTGACCAAATTAGACCTACTTAAGGCAGACATTATGCACAAGATTCGTTAGTTGATCAGGAGCGCAACAGAGCCCTTCGCGGGGCTTCCATTTCTTTCCCTACATGCCTGATGAAAGAAATTATGAAGCCAGCGTGGCAATGTGGATATCCTCAAACTATTCACGAACAAGAAGTATACTTCGTCTGTCCGCCAGGTGTTAGCGTCGATTCAACACTTACGCCCGGTCTTAAGACTGGAAGCTCTTCTGGAATGTATTAATGTTGCCACAATTCATCACTACGTAGTTGATTTTTGTGCATGGTAGTTATCATTATTTCTATACGTTTCGAGTCCGCACTCCAACAATGCTGAGTATCAATGTGGCTCTGTTAGCCTGCATTGCGATGTTCTACACCTTCCGTCGATTGAGGAAGAGTTACAAGTTTAGGAAATTACGTCAGTCATTATCATGTCGTACTCCGCCTCGCGTCCAACGACGAGGGCCTCTGGGCATCAATAATGCCCTTGAGCGACTACGATTCTGAGGCGACATATTAGACGGATATCTGGTCGGAAAATTCGAGAAGTAAGGATTTACCCACGAGATTAAGGAAACAGGGCTATATGCTATCATTACAGCACAACCTGAGAATATCCGAACCATCATGTCTACCGACTTCGAGAGCTTCGGACCGGGTAAAACTCGAAAGCGCAGTATGGCTCCTCTGCTCGGCCAGGGCCTGTTTACAGTTGATGGAGAGAAATGGAGGCATGCACGGAATCTGCTTCGCCCGCTCTTTGGGAAGAGTAATATCACAGACCTGACACTGGCCCACAAGTATATGGAAATGGTCTTGGATTTTACGATTCCTAACGACGATGCCACTTGGTCTGGCTGGACGGGACCCATTGATTTGAAAGGTCTTTTCGAACGCTTTACAATGGATACGGCCACTGAAGCAATCTTTGGACGCAGTGTGAACTCCCAACTGTGGGCCAAGGCCTCAAATTCCGAGGGTAAATAAGACGATTCTGCTGCCAACATGACCCAAGGTTTTTCCAGAGCATTTGACGTCAGCCTACTGGGGATAGTGATCCGCCTGATTACCGGGCGCCTCTCTTTTCTTTTCAGCCGGCGTAAGTTCAGTAGCGCATTCAACTTCGTCCAGAGATATGTGTCGCTTCAAGTCCACCATCTGCTGAAAGATGACCTGTCGCAACATAGTGGGATACAAAAGTCCATAATGCATCTGATAGAAAAGGAATACTAATCCAGGTTCGTGATTCGGGTGAGGGCAAGGTATTCCATCGGCTATTGCGGGAAATTTTGAAGAAGAAAAGTAAATTTCAAACCCTAGATTCCCGAAACACTATGGATAAACTAGAATCTTTTGACTAATGGTCTATATTAGTTGACCAGCTAATGGGAAGATGATACAATGTCTGCAGGTCTCTTCATTCTGTGAGTAAGTTTTCTCATAGATTATAGTATATATTCATAATAAATTTTAATCTAAAGCACAATAAAAATAAAACTGGTAGTATTATAAGATAATATAGTTTGAATCTTATCATAAGGTAAAATAAGTAAATATTTTTATTAATTTGAATATATTCTTAGCATATTTGTCTAATCTTGTTCTTGGCATAGCTTATCATTGTCAAAATAGAAAAAAGTTATTCTGTTTTTAGTACTAGATTACATGGAGTTTACTTCAGACCATGCTGAACTGTAAGCCCATACCCTTCTTGAAGATACCTCTTCCAATAAACAGCTTTGAATATGTCAGACGGACAGATATTGCACATAGTCTAACACATCTGAAATGACCGACAAGCCGCTCCACAACCATCTCCGCAAAGATTAGCAGTCGGCGGATGTACACAAAATCACCTTTTACGCACTTCGTGTTATTCAATGCCACGTCCTGAATTGAATGGGATCATAACCTACCAGAATCTGATGTTGCACACATTTCTATTCTTCTATCGTCGGGAGTCGAATGCCTCCACTTCAATCTCAATCAACATCGACGGAAAGGCGAGGCGAGGGACAGCTATAGAAGTCCAGACGGGACGGTGTCCAGGAATACGTTTCTTAAGCTTTTCGACAATGTAGTCAAAAGAAGCGCCCATGTCGACATGGTACGAGCGGATAAGGTAGACGTCCTCCCAACCTTTCAAACCAGCAGCCTGAAGCACTTGATCGACATTCTCAAAAGCCAGATCAACCTGCCTGCGCACGTCTGTCGCATCCAAATCACCGGACTGAGTCCAGCCACCCTGTCCTGCACATTTCACAATGTTCCCGGGAAGGATGACAGCCTGGGAGTAGTGGCACAGGTCGCTATGCTTCTGCCCAGCACCATTCTCGTTAACAAAGGTAAGTGTCGACATCTGGTAAGAGGAGTCCGAAGGAAGAAAGAAACCTGGACACAAATAGCCAGCCTATAATAGCATGAAAATGAGCGAGACCGAATCTGTGCATTCCTGTCGAAGATTCTTGAATACTTATGTCACGTTATCAATGGACCACAACCACCATTGGAGAAGTCTTGGCGTTTTGGAGACAAGTCCAACGCAGTGAGAAGCAATCACCTCCCCATTATCCAAGCCGTCTTTCCAAATCCAGTTGGGTTACTGCGCTTCTCTGGGGTAAATATATTTGCGCTGGCTTTCTCCAGAATCTCTTGGCGTGTTATGGAGGCTGGTATGCAATATATTACCCTCTGCGCTTCTGGTCCTGGGACCTCTATCCAGAGCTAACCCATCTTCCTGCTCTAACAGCCAGAGTATTTCCGCACGATCCCTGGGAAGGAAAGGTGAGATGGAGTCTTGCAAGCCGAAAAAGCACGTATCTAGCGTGAAGGAGATGTCGAGGACACGGGAAGTTCTCTTCGTCACTGTCCTCTGCATGACCCAGTTATTGAATCAGTCAAGCTTGGGGCAGACATTGAGGTACGAGTTTCGGCCATAGCTGTAGCTATAATTCTTTTCAATCTGACCATCCCCAGTATAATCCATATAATTGGGTCCTCATTCGGAATCGCCGAGACCGGCGAGCTAAGCTGGCTGATTGCCGGGTACAGTCTCACCGTGGGCACATTTATCTTAATATTCGGACGCATGGGGGATGTCTTTGGGTACAAACGGCTTGTTATTATTGGACTAGGATGGTATGCAACTTGGTCTCTGGTCTCTGGTTTGGCTGTGTACTCAAACAAAGTGCTTTTCATATGTTGTCGGGCACTGGCTGGGATCGGGCCCTCAATTACCTTGCCGAATGCCCTTGCCATGTTGGGGTCTTCATATGAGCCGGGCTTCAAGAAGGTACGTTGCACTGGGCCGTCAAATGTTACCTTAATGGGGCTCGCTAACCAAATGAATACTTCACAGCAAGTGGCATACTGCCTTTTTGCCGCCGTGTCACCTACAGGAATCGTGTTGGGTGCTACGTTTGCTGCTTTATTTGCGTTAACATGGTGGCCCTGGGCATTTTTCGCATCTGCCATTGTCACCGCGATGATTGCAGTAATCGCGTGGGCGGTTCTTCCGGAACTACCAAGAGGAGAACATATGGTTTCAACCGGACCTGTCGGAAACACGCTACATCGCTACTATATCCAGCTTGACCTAGCAGGATCGTTCACCGGTGTGATTGGGTTAGTCCTGTTTAACTTCGCCTGGAACCAAGCGGTCTTGACGGGCTGGCAAGCACCCTATGTTTGTGTCACCCTAGTCCTAGGCGTTGTCTTCACTATTGCCTTCATATACATTGAGAACCACGTATCGCAGTTTCCTCTGATCCCTCGGGAAGCTTTCAACCTGGACACGGCATTCATCCTGGGCTGCGTCGCCAGTGCATGGGGAACCTTCGGAATCTGGATTTACTACATCTGGCAATATTTCGAGGTTGTACGAGAACTGCCACCGCTGCTCGCCTGTGCTTGGAAGACACCGGTGACAATAACGGGATTTGTTGCTGCAATGGTAACTGCTATAATCCTGAACAAACTACACCCCTCGTGGGTAATGGTTATCGCGCTTGCAGCCTCCGTTGTCGGGACTGTTCTCCCTGCAACAACTCCAGAACATCAGATTTACTGGGGACAGACCTTTGTGTGTTTAATTGTTATGCCGTGGGGTATGGATATGAGTTTCCCGGCTGCTACGTTGCAGTTGTCTAATCGGATGACGAGAGAACACCAGGGTGTTTCAGCGAGCTTGGTGAATACCGTGGTCAATTATAGCATTTCGTTGGCTTTAGGCTTTGCTGGTACAGTGGAAAGGGAGGTTAGCAAGGGGTTGACAGGGAAAGAGAAGGTTTTGAAGGGGTCTGCTGCGGCGTGGTACTTTGGGGTAGGGCTTTCGGTGTTTGGGCTTGCGCTCAGTCTTATGTTTGTGCTATTGAGGTATCACCGAGAGAAGGTTTGAGGCCGCAGGCGATCTCAGGAAGAGAGACTTGAAGCGGGCTGTGAGTCTGGTAATTGCCTCGACCTTGTTTCATTGTTTAGCGTTGGTTAATCCAATCAGATCCCAGTGCCTGGCTCGAATAAAATAAAATGGTGCCTTGGAGACGCATCGGGGAATGGAGGGATTAGTAATGTTTGAGGTACAGATCAGAGAAGATTCCGCGGTATAGATTTTAGCATAACACGTTGGTTTCATCCTCCGCCGACTACATCAGCACCGCTTGCATATAACTGCAAGCTTTGCCCTATCAGATCAACGAACGGCCACTGCTCATTTCCACGCATTATTCTCGCCCACAGTTTGACAACAAAGGACGCCAATTGATTGCAGTCCCTATTATCGAGGAAATCAATTTCAAAATCTACGGATGATCGCCCTTCGTCCACCACACGTTGGATCCACCCTAGTAGTAGTCGTTCGTGCTCTATACAAAAGGTTAGCCTACTCCTTCTTTTATAGTGCTGACCAGCGAGAGACAGGAGACAGACCCTCTAACGGTTGCTCCTCCTTTGTTCTTTCAACCTGTCTAAGCCACTTTTCTACCAAAACCGCAAATTCCAACCCGCAAAGCGCGTGTTGGATACTCCATACGAAAGCCTGGCTGCGCGAAACATATTCGATGCCTAGTTTAACGGGAATACTAAGAGCGTGTGTGGCATGAAGTAGTGCTGGAAGAAGATTTTTCTCACGCGACACAGGAGGAGATTGATGTAAGGTACGAGCTATCTCGACTGGACTTCGTGTTTCTAGCTTTCGGCACGGCCCAAGGTCGATTTGCAGCCGGGTATATGCTAAACCAAGTAATGCAGTAGCGGTAAAGGGGATAGGACCGTTTGGGTTCAGCGGGTCCAGGCTGGATTCTGGAGCGAGTTGCCATGTGGATGTCCAGTTACGGAGGGCATTCCTGAGGAGATAAGTACGAAGATCACGAATGAGATCCTCCGGAGTAGGAAAAACGTACGTTAACATGTCTGCTTGAGGCACACTATTGCATAAGGCTGCTTGGCGGCCCAGCAGGATGCGCTGCAGCAGACCATGCAATGTCAAGATGCTGGCTGTTGGCGATGGGGTCGGCTGCGTTGTAGACACAGGCATAACCTTACCTTCATCCAGCAATGATGCGAGTGCGTCCTGGAAAAAATTCTGCTCGTGATGAATACTCTGACGAACTTGTTTCCAGTGCATTTCGTTGACCGTTCGCCATTCGTCACATGTGCACGGCAGTCGTAAGTTGATTTCAGTGCTCAAGAGGATAGGAGGTAGGTTATAAGCGATACTCTGCAGATTTAGAAACGCGAAGCCAAAAAGCTTCACCCGCCGCGTCGCTTCTAGCTCAAGCCACGTTTGCCAATTGAGGTTCGACGCATCTGACTCTGAAGTATCCTCCTCGACCAGTCCACTCTCTCTCATTAGACGAACAAATAGACTCTGAAAATCACAGGCGTCCCGCAAAAGCTCAAGGTCCTGCTGCCAGGTACCAAAAATCATCAGGTTCAGCAGACATCTAAGGTCATCCGTAATGGTTGGGCGCGACGAAAACGGCCCAGAGGTTACGGGCAATTCTGCAGTCAGCTGCTCACCCCTTGAGATTCCCCTGGCCTTGGCCCTCTGCTTCTCTTGGAATATGGCCTTGGCTGCAAAGTAAAGCATCCGGCCTGTGCGATGTTGGTATCGATACTGTGCTCCGGCTGCTGCCATTGCCAGGACTAGCTCTAGCGGATGCTTTTCCGGGCTAAATGACGCGCAATGGATGAAGGGCATATGGAGATAGACCCCATCAAAATAGGCATTCAAGAAGCGGGTAAGCGACTCGCGAGACGGCAGGCTGAAGCTTGGTACAAGATGCTTGAACGGGCCAAATGCATGCAACATATCTGCCCTTTGTGCCTCTGTAATCCTAAGAAGCGGGATATAAACGGCTGCCTGTACTATGCGTGGTAGAAACAGAGCAGAAAGACCACGTTAGCACCTTTATAAGCGTAACGAGGGCGTCTAGACCACTACTTACTCCATGGATTCAAGGGGATGGGGAGCAATGTGGGTATTTGCGCCCGGTGGCCTGACTCTATCTGTTCTTCTGCAGTATCGGGTTCGGGCGCCAGAGTATAAAAATTGCGATCTTGAAACGCAGCATTGAGACCTTGGTCCGGAGCAATACCGTCGAAATTTCGTAGACTATCAGAGTCGAAGCCAAGTCCCATGCTATCAATGAAACCTGTAAACTCTTCAAGTGACGGGTAGATGCTTGATGCATAGAGAGCTATAGCCAGTATCAGCATGAGCAAGTCACTCAATATAAGCAGTCGTAATTCACCTGGGTCTTGATAGCTATGATTTGTAGTTCCGACGCCGTCAGCTCCCTGCACGGGTGCTGCGAAAGGGTTCGTGACTTGCTGCGCCAACAACTGATGATCTACAGCGGGCTCTTGGCGGTGAGTGGCGCTAGGTGTGCTAAAATCACCATTTGGTTGTTGTGGTTTCGCCTGTAGGCCAGGGGCTATGGTGGATGACGACAGGAAAGGTTCAACACCCCCATGAACCAAGCTGTGATGGCGCCTCAACAGATCCCGCCTAGCAAACGCTTCCCCACAAGCGCAGGCATATGGTTTCTCGTGTGTATCTAGGCCAGGTGAGAAGTCGAGCAAACTAGGGAGTCGCCAGTAACCTACGGAGCCTCACATGTCGTTGAAGGTGTTCGAGCCGGCGGAAGGCACGCTGACAGTAGGGGCAGATACGCGACTTCCTGGTAGCCCTTACGGGTACAGTAGGGGGAGACATCATTGTGTCGCACAAAACTGCCTTTGCAGCAAACTCTCGGGAGGAGACGCCCGCCCCTTTAGACAATCACTACTTTTCGAACTACACGTGACATGATGATGTCACGGAAATTCCGTGATAGTCACTCATGAAATGCTTATGAATAGTCAAAATTTGCAATAACCCACTGTGCTTTTATCACGTTTAGACATCCAATGGGGCGTCAAAGCCGAACATTGGCTCTAAGCTAAAGAACACTTTGGAGACGCTTTGGAGACGCTTTGGAGATGCTTTGGAGAAGCTTTGGAGACCCTCTGGAGACGCTTTTGGGACACTTTAGAGATTTGTAAGAGAGTTAACTATTGGATTCTACGAAGCGTGGGTATATGAGACATAATCTTAATATCACTTCTGAATCTTCCGCATAATAGGAGTAGGTAAACACAATTGATACTAGGTAGCTGATATAGTCCATAAATAAATCCACGTACACTAGGTGAGTTTTTTATTATTGCCTTCCTTGATCACAACTACGATATCAAAATGACACACGAACATTCTTTATTACCGGCTCTTCCGGCTGCCTTGGTGGAACTCTCCTCGCCCGTTGAGAGAGCGTCCAGCTCCCTCCATACAATATCCTCAGTATCTCTACCTGTAATTACTCCCAACTCCTTTATACATAGACGGCCGCTGTCTATATAATATGATATAGTATATAGACTATAATACACTCTTGCTTATATTAGACTAGTATAATAAGACCAGGCTAAGTGGTATAACCTAGTATAGAATCGAGAGCCGCCCGTGTTATATTGGCCTTGAAACTGAGGATCTCGATGACCGGGTTTTCGATTCGGCATGCTAATTTGAATGTCATTGTCGCAGATGAGCTGATTTTACGAATGGTAGACTTGGCTGTGAGTGTAGGTTCAAAAACATGATGCGACATAGGTGATTTATGGGGGTCGACCTCGACGCTACGGATTAAGATCCTAACTTGCTAATTTCAGCTAGCTCGTCTAACCACTTTGACTCTCGGAATAAAGGGCCGAATAAATCGTAGTGTACTATATGTATATGGTCTATATATATTTCAAGATGATGGCTCGTCGGTAGGTAAGAGGTGCCTCGCTCCAGTGAGCATCTCAACATCAACCTACTGCTCATTCTCAAACTTCATACCCGCCTCCTGGCGCACAGCGCCATACATACCCGCCACATCGCCCCTCTCACCCATATGCTCCTTCACCTTCGCCATGTAGTCATCCGCCAACTCAACCCCTTTCATCCTGGCGCCCACCTTACCCGCCAAATCCATCGCATGACGGGCATCCTTCCTAGCCAAATCAACCGCAAACAACGGTTCCTTGCGCTCATGGTAATCACCCGACCTCATTCTAGCGGAGTAAGCAACATAAGGACCGGGGAACACAGCCTCAAAGAACTGGTGCAAGGCATCCGTGCCCAGGCCACACTTATCCGCAACCACCAATCCCTCCGCAATACTCTCAACCATACCCAGCACAAACGTGTTACCGAGGATCTTCAACTGCGACGCCTTAGCAGGAGACTGATCACTGAAATCCACAACTGCCTTGGCAATAACTCCCGTCGTGTAGGGCTTGACCTGCTCGACTGGACCCGCCAGCACGGGGATGACCTGGCCGGCGGCGGCCATGGGCGGGGCACCGAAGACGGGACTGGCGACGAAGTGGGCGCCCTTGGCTTGGAGCTTTTCGGAGATGGAGGTTGTGGTGTCAGGGTGGACGGTGGAGCAGTCGACGAAGAGCTTGTCGGTGAGGGGGGAGCCGCTGGCGATGCTGGCATCGATGATGGATTGGATGGCGGCGTCGTCGCCGACGCAGGTGAAGATGATGTCGGACTTGGTGACGGCTTCAGAGATGGTGTTGGAGATGATGGTGTTGGGAGTCGCGGCTTGGAATTCTTGAGCGCGGGTGATGTTGCGATTGTAGATGATTAGGGGAGTGGTCAGGGACCCTTTGGCGGCGAGGTTTTTGGCCATGCCCTGTTCTTTGGTTAGAGGTTGTGGATTGTTGGTCAGTTATTGCGAATGGGGGTGCGTACGCGGCCCATGTTACCGAGGCCCAGCCAGGCGAGTTGAGGTGCCATTGTGTGTGATGTGAGAAGGTGATGGGGATAGAAGGGAAGTGGTCAAGGTAGAGACGTTGGTGTCTTGATGATCTCACGGGGAGGATGGAAGAAGTGTTGGCTTGAATGATGGTTTTGAGAATGCCATGTCTGTCTGTGTTTATACATCTTTTGCACCGGGTGTTCTGGTCATGAACACGAGCAGAGTCAAGCTGATGAACAAACGGGGCAGTTCTACAAAATCATTCTAAACGGGTTTAGATTCCGCCCACGCTTGTTCCGAGCGGAGGCTAAGCTGGATTCGGACGGTGTTTTTGCACCCAGCATCTTCCAGAAGGTGGCCTTGATGATTAATTCAGCTTAATAATGTAGCTGTCGTCCTTGATGATTGTCTTTGGCTGTTTATTTGTGTTGTGTTGAATGAATTCGCAGATGATGTCAGGTATATGTGATCTACTACGGTAATGCGCAGTTGGTGTTTGGCTCTGTCGGTCATTGTCCGTTGTCAAATGTATTATTTCCATGTTGTTGTGTTATACTCAGGCTGTACATTGGTATTATCCCACTACCATTGATACTCATTGTCTGACGGCATGAAGTATGTGTGATGGATGCCACCGACGCAGGGACAACCGTGCTACGTACAACAGACCCTGATCTGCCGTCTAACCTTGATCGGACTAGTCTGTCTGATCGAACAGGGCTTAGTGTCCGCTAGAGAAATTTAAGGTTAGTGCGACGGATGGAGACTAAGCCAAAGGCGGAAAGATGGTCCGCACCCCGTCTTGCCACATCGCCTGCTTTGACAATTTAGCTATACCGGCCATGATTGCTACGGGCGAGGTGCATATGATGAAGCTTGGAGAATTCTGATCGACTGCTTATAAATGCTGTTACTTGTAGTGGGTGGTCCAGTCATAAACAAGGGACTTTGCTAAGCGGTGAATCCGGTACTCAACTTCAGATGGAGAAAAGAGTGGCATCAACTGTGTGGCTTCTCTAGTATCAGCTCAGGCTTACAACCCTTTGTTAGATCTTCTCGCTCGAGGACCGAATGGGATGTGACCTTGGCTTTGATAGGGCCTCGTCGGTATCTCTAGTCAGTGTGTTTGGTACCAGATTATACTCAGTCTCTAGGGCCTATGAATCAGAGATCCTAGAGACTAAAACAGTAGGGGAAATAGTCCCCCATGTTCTGACAGCAATGAGTCGTGGCCCAAAGCTTATCCTCTGCGCTAATTTGAGAATCCAACGTTACATTTATGTCATTCTAGGCAGGGACTTGCGGAAAACAAAGAGGGGAAATGAGACATTTAGCAGGGGTTGGAGCTTGACTATGATGGCTGCCTCTGGATGAGCGCTTGGTCGTGGACATGTGATCCCAGCTTCCTCCTAGTTTGACAGGCGTTTCATATTAGACCAAAGTCTATGTCAGGCTGGATACCTGCCAGTCATCAATAAGATCGAAAAGTCTTATAGAAGGCCATCCTTCTTTCTCCCTTTTTAAAGACATATCTCAGAAGCCATTCTCTTTTATCTTTCTTTCACTCTATCTCAAGCAAAGCTCAAACCCAATCCAATCCTCCCAGAGCAGAAACATGAAATACGTCTCAAACTGGCATCCTGTCCACGGGGTCCCCATCGTGGATGGAAAGTTCCAAAATCCCACTACTGGTGTCATCGAAGAGATAACCGACAAGAACTTTGTGATTTGCGGGCCTCCTTTTATCAAAACTACGTGGATAAATCTGAAACCTGGCAACGGATTTCGCACTATATGCACCGACTTTCCACCCCCGATCGAAGATGTTTTTGTTGCTATTGCGGGCCATGTGAAAGAAAGGGCGTACGAAATCGAAAATATCAGCGCGACCAAGTATGAAATGACGGTGGTCTGTTCAACCAATCTGACTCAGGAGATGATGCACGAGGTGGTGATGCGGATGAAAGGGAATTTGTGGAAGGATGTGTACGTTCCGCCGGAGGCAATTGCGGCTTTCGAGGCATTTATGGAAGACGAGCGAAAGAAGGAAAATCCTCGGTTCTGATTCATTGTCTGGTGAGACAAGACTCAAGCTAGTAGCAGTAGGTTGGGCAGTAGCTCGTTCCACTATGCTTGACTTGGCCTGTGACATGGTCCTTTTGGGACATGGGTTGACAGCTGATGTTAAACATAACCAGTTGAGAGGCACTACAATAGCAGCGATTTATCATTAAGCTTCATCCAACAGCCACTGGATATAAAACTTTACCCCTTGTAGAAAAAAAGAGCAATTCGACGGTCTACGCATAACTGGTCGTGGTATAGAATCCTAGCAAACTCAACATCCGCACTAAAATCTCACTTCGCTTGTCTCCAGCCTTACAGGCTCTAAGCATGCTCCCAAGCGTTTCTTTCCCTTATTCCCTGAGCCATGGCCTCCGATTAAATTCACCGGCACCGATAATAAGCGAGATTATCACTATCACCTTCTGATTCACCGAGAACACCTATGAATGTGTGCACTGAGTGTGGGCACCCCATACTCTGGACACAACGAGAAGCACGCACATACTGTGGTGATGGCAATGATGTTGCCTCCACTTCTTCAATTACTTCTGATGTTATAATGGTGCCTTCTATCTTAAGTTCTTGAGATAATGACCAGCTCCGATGACCTTTGGCGAGGATACAAATGTGAGCGACTCATCGCTAGTACTTGTCGCCAAGTCGGTAAATATGCAAACATTGATGGTAAGCTGGAGGTAGCGGCAATCGTTGTAAGACGCATCTTTGAGTCATGTTTAGAAGAAAGATGAGATTAGTAGATAGTTAAGAGACAACCATGAAATGGTATCCATTAAGGTTATGTCAAGCTCGGGTAGCCGTCCGGATCCACCGATCAGCATCGTGGGGTAAATGATGTAATATCCCCTCTCAAACACGATATAAGAACCTTCATTCATCCCATGTGTCTATTTCTCCCATTATTCTCTTCCTTCAATATATATACTCAAGACAATCTCACTGAAATCACATCGCACATTGTGAACAGTCATCATCACCCTATCCTCAACAACATCATAATATATACTCTACCACGAACACTCACCCAACCACCACCTCAATCAACCAAAATGTCCACAATCCACTTCCCCCACCGCTTCCTCCCCGGCACGACCGAAAACTTCGTATCCAACGAGATCTACGTCCCCAAGTTGACCGCCTCCCGGGTATGGCCGAATTTGATCACCCCCTCCCGCTGGACATCCTACTACAGCAACGTGGACCAAGTAACACCGCCCCCAACCAGCGACGGAACGTTCCAGAACCCCGGCGACAGGTTCAGTTTCGCGACATTCGGATTCCCGCCGCTCCAAGCAGAGATCTGCGAATGCGTGGCCCCCACAGCAACCTCACCGGGTCGGTTAGCCTGGCGCGCATGGCAGGAAGGAGATGAGGAGACGGCGCTGGAGGTGTATCATGCGTGGATTGTGGAGGATATGGAGTGGGGAGTAGTGAGGATTCTAACGCAGGAGGTGCAGGCGGGAAAGCCGGCTGCTGGATTGGCGGAGAAGAAGCCGAATCCGATGCTTTTGGGACATCAGGAGTGGGTGGATGGTTTGGGGAGATTTAGTTTTGAGAATTGATTAATTGAGAAGGGACGGGTTAAGGGTGTTGTTATCCCTGTACATAGGGTAGAGGACTTATTGGGATGGTTTCGTGGTTCTTTGCATTCTTTGGTAGTGGTCGCAGACATGGTTGGATCATGAATGAAGGGTCGAGGGAGGGTTGAAAGAGACCCTGGCATGTCCATATTTATCCCTTGCAGATGCTTTGTAGATGGTTGTAGAGCCTCATTGGTGGAATGTGGATGCATGCCGATCGCTAGGCAGCTGCGCAGGCAGAACTGCTGCCAAGCTGCCAGCCGGGGAAGTATAAGACCATTGACGATATGGTCTGGGCTTGAGACAGCACACAGCAGTCTGTCTTTAATTGATGATTTTTTAGTCGAGAATCGTGCAGCTTGATAATAGCCCCTGCAATGTCCGCCCTCTCGCAAACCCTGCGGTCCCTGACTGAGAGCAAAATCCGTGAGCTCGAGAAGCGACGCAAAAGCTATGAGGCTGACAAGGCTGCCATTTTAGAGGCGGCTCATGCCACTCAGGACACTCGTCAGCGACTCGAGCACCTGCTCAAGGGAGCAAAGGAGCTCTGCCCATCGGCTTCTAGCGATCCCACTATGGTTAACATTGAGCGGTGGCTGCATCAATCAATCTACGACTCGTCAATCCCGCCAGAAAAATTGCAGGAATTTGAGGCTCAGCTTCTCAGGAAACTCAACATCCAAAGTCGAAAGCTAGGCCTGGCTGACTTGTACTCGCGGCTGCTAACGGAGTGGGTGGACCCGCCTGTTGCGGCGCCCCAGGATGAGAGCGAGATGGCGGTCGACGACGACTACATGGTTGTGGATGAGCGACAGAAGCAGCGTCTGCAGCAACTGTGTGATCAATTCGACGCGTCCGTATTCGAACCGTTGGAGACAAACGAATGGCAGATACGGGCCTTCCTTGATGACCTGTTTCCGGATGAGGAGAGTGTAAATGCCTTGGTCAATCTTCGCAGGCGGCTCAAGGACGAGACCACGTCATTCTGGGAAGAACAAGAGCCTTTTACCACGCAATCTGTAGAGTATTGTGTCCGTGGACTCTTGAATGAAGAACTTCTCAGTGAGGAGAAGCGGGAGATTATGAATTCTTTCCTGAAGACACCGGTCGCTCTGACTGAGATCGCCGATGTGTTGAATATGCGATACAGTGATATCGAAAACTGGGCCTGGCATGCTGGGGAAAATGGTATTCCCGTTGTCCCCCGGCAGCAGGCAAATGGGAAGTATCGTATCTGGATGGACGAGGATCTCCTGCAGTTGATTTTCCTGCAGTATATCGGCACGCGACATTGTAACATTCTGAAGCGTCTATTATCAAGGTTTGTCCAAAAGGACTCGGTGTGGAACTGGAAACCCGAGCGACAGATGACGGCACGCGATCGCCTTCGACGGAAATACTACATGGATAATGACGAAGTATATTCAACTGCCGAGCAGTTGCGATTCACAGAGTACCTGGAAACTTACTTCTTGTCGCAGCTTCCAAAATCAGAGAGAACATTGAGTGAGAAGGGCAATTCATATGATGACGACAATGAGGTTGCTGGGACAAATCCAACAAGGCACGAGGGAAAGAATTTCCGACAGCAGCTGCTACGAAAGATTGCCACGGAGGCGCTTGTCCGTCGACACTTGCACGGTGCAGCGGTGGTGGTTCAATCCGACATGAGATGGTACGCCACTTGTCTGCCGCACAGTACAATTGTCATTATCATGAAGTATATTGGGTTCCCAAAGAGGTGGATTGACTTCTACCATCGTTATCTGGAAGCTCCCCTAAACATGGACAGCTCCTATGAGGGACGTGAGCCAGTTGGACCCCGCATCAGGAAGCGGGGAATTCCATTCGGGCATGCCGCTGAGAAACTGTTTGGAGAAATGATCCTCTTTTTCATGGATTTAGCAGTAAATCGCGAAACGGGCTTGCTCTTATACCGTCTGCATGATGACTTGTGGTTGTGCGGCGAGCCAGCCAAGTGTGTACGAGCATGGGAAGTGATGGGTAATTTCGCCAAAGTCACAGGGCTAGAGTTTAATTACAGCAAAACTGGGTCGGCTTATCTGGCTGAGTACAGAGATCCCAGAATCGCTGCCCAGCTCCCGGAAGGTTCAGTCACATTTGGATTTCTGAAACTGGATGCAGACACCGAGACGTGGGTGATTGACGAGACCCTTGTCGATGCGCACGTTCAGCAACTCAAACAGCAACTGGATCGTTGCGATAGTGTTATATCCTGGGTCCGCACATGGAACAGCTGCATCGGAAGGTTCTTCAAGAATACCTTCGGTCAGCCTGCCTACTGCTTTGGGGAGCCACATGTACGTGCCATTTTGACCACGTACAAGAATATCCAAGATAGGATTTTGAATGACTCGGCATCAACAAGTATTCCGGAACATCTGCGGGCAATTATCACAGGACGGCTTGGTGGATTTGAGATTCCGGATGCTTTCTTTTTCTTCCCCGAAGAACTAGGTGGACTTGGCCTACGCAATCCCTTCACATCCGTGCTCCTGGTTGAGGGTATCATGGGCGAGCCACCGCTAGCGAGGATAAAGCAATATCTAGAGGAAGAGAAAACTTGGTATTCTCAGCGAAAAAAGACGTTCGAAGACTTGAGCGATCAACGGCGGCGAAAGATGCTACAGACCTGTGTTTCCAATGCAGATCTCGACGGCGACTTGGTGGCCGAGCGAGAAATCCATGCTTTCATGTCATTTGAGGAATTCTCTCGATTCCGCGAAACTGCAAGTGGCAATCTCAGACGAATGTATATCGATCTGATGCGCGTTCCGACAATGCAACCACTTGAAGCATCACCGGAGCTTGAGAGAGCTCTACGGGAGACTCTAACCCAGGGGCAAGTTGGCAACTTGGACAGTGAAGAGCTATGGCACTTGCAATTATATGCCGGAGAGGTGCTAGAGAAACTGGGAGGTCTTAGACTGGTGGACCAGAAGTTCTTGCCCGTCGGAGTTCTGGGGATGGTGAAGGAAACTCGGGTCAAGTGGCAAATGGTGCTCTGACGTATCACCTTCTTATGAGCTTTGATTTTCTGAAATATAGTCAATTATACAGTTTCAGCAGCGAATATTCTGGTCTGTTACACTCACACTCAAGGGCTTTGGCTACTAAGACATGTCTGAACTAGTGCCATCGGTGCAATTATAACAGAGCACAAAACGCAACAGACGAATGTACTCAGAGAGAGGAACATCATTGATGCCTTTTTCATATTTCAGCAAGGATCAGCTTCGTGCAAGGTCAATGAGAGTAACCTATCCAATTGCATCTGCTCGTTCTCGTGTATGGCGTTTAGTGCCCCAATAGTATATGCATCAATGTCTGCACTAGCCTGCTACTCAGTCACATTGACCTATCAGCGCTTAAACCCTGGGGGCCAGAATT